CAATGAGATTGGCACAGGATAGAGCACGGTTTAGGGCTGTTGTACATAGGGTCGCTATGAGTCGCATAACGACTCGACGGCACATAACAACAACAGCAACAACCCTCGGCAACACAAACTGCCTCTGCATCTGGGCAGACGACTGACAGTCCTCGAGGTCCAGGGCTTCTCCTCTTGCTCTTTTTTGGTGATGTGTGTGGCTAGGAAGAGGGGGGTAATATTTATATATTTGGGTATAATTATAAACTTACAGAAATGTTACAAGAATAATCTAAGGAACTCTATGCAGATTCATAAATTGTATACTTTTTACTCTTTTGCTCCAAAATACTTAATAAGAAAAAAGATGTTCTATTTATAGGCAGCACTTTTAAAATTGAAGAAATGAAAGCTTGATAGAATACTGTTGTCTAATCCCCAGTTCATATTTAAATTTTCTTTTCTTTTTAATGAACATTTACAGAGATTTTGGATTTCCAGTCATTCATTGTCGCACTTTTCTCCTCGCCCACCCCTCCCTCCCCCAGTTTGCTCCTCTCTTTGAAAAGTAAGAGAAAAATTCTTTCATTGGTATACAATCCCCCTACACCCCCCACTCACCACACTGAGTACACTCCACTATGCAACCTTGATTCTGGACTCTTGTGATAACCATAATACCCTATCATACATTGCTTTTAAACTATTCTCTCCCTCATCTGTTTCAATGCAGTATACATAATTTATCCAGTTTTTCTCAGTCTTACCCCAACCTGATGTCAGTCCCATTCTACAACAGTGGCACCATACAGTATTTATCCCTCTGTGACTGAGATATTTCACTCAACGTAATGTCCTCCAGGCTCACCCATTTTGAATAATATTGCATGAGTTCCTTGATTTTCAATGCAGCATAGTATTCCATTGTGTGAATATACCACAGCTTCTCTATCCATTTGTTTTTTGATGGGCACTTAGGTTGTTTCCAACTCCTTGCTATTGTGAACAGAGCTGCGATAAACATAGGTGTGCATATATCTGCTTGGATGTCAGTTATGGTTTCTTTAGAGTATGTTCCCAGTAGTGGAATTGCTGGGCCAAATGGTATCTCTATTTGCAACTTTTTGAGAAAGCGCCATACCGCCTTCTACAGTGGTTGTACCATTTTACACTCCCACCAACAGTGAATAAGGGTTCCAGTTTCTCCACAACCTCACTAGCATTTGTTGCTTGCTGTTCTGTTAAATTTTGCTATTCTGACTGGGGTGAGATGATATCTCCTAGTTGTTTGATTTGCATCTCTCTTAGAGCTAGGGATTTTGAACATTTCTTCATGTGCTTGTTAGCCATCTGAATGTCTTCTCTGGTGAAGTGTCTGTTCATATCCTGTGCCCATTTTTCAATTGGATTATTTACCTTTATCTTGTTATGGTGCTCAAGTATTTTATAAATTCTAGATATAAGTCCCTTATCTAACATGTCATTACCAAATACTTTTTCCCAGTCTGTGGCTTCCCTTTTTACCCTGTTGGAGAAGTTTTTGGATGTGCATAGGGATTTGATTCTTAGAAGATCCCATTCATCTATTTTTCTTCTCCTGGTTGTAGACATATTTAAATTTTGCCAATTCTTTTAATAATGCTTCCCCTCCCACACAATAATAGGTATCCTTCCCCCGCCCTCTGGACCCTTCACCACTGTCCCAAATCTAATCCAGGATCACACATACCGTTAAGGTTATAATGTGAAATCACCTTTAATCTGGATCAAAGTCCCAACCAGTTAATTTGTAGAATAGAATTTTTTATCATTTCTTCTGCATTATTATTGGTATTCTACTGTAAAGAAGGTTTTCCTTTTCCTTCCATTTATATCAGTATGGAGTCATAGAGTCTTCCTTTAGTCAACAGATTATAATCCCTATCATTATTTTGATGTTCACATTATCTTAAATTTGGCCAGTGGGATGGCTCCCCTTCAAGCTAATTCTGGATCCCTTTAATATCTCCATCATGCTCAGAGTTTCTCTGAGGTCTGGTGTATCTTCCTCAGCCCTAGCCCTGGAATCAGGTATTTCTCTAAGACCCTTGATTTTTCCCAATGAAGAATTATATTCAGAAATGAAGATGTGGGCATTAGGTGTGTGCATTGTCACAGTATGTCATTTCTTCTAGTGTGTCATATCCTCTCAGAGGACAGGCAGGAAGTAAATATACAAGCAAACAAATATGTATCTCTATCATGTTTACATATAACATACTGTCTTTTTGTAGCTGTTTAATCATGTCTTTTATACACTATGTATATTTAAGCTTCAAAGTTTCATACCTCCCATTCCAAACCAACATCACATGTTACAGTCTAGTCTTACATTTTACTTTTTCCTAGAATAAATTCTTACTGTTGTTGAGGGCCTGCTAATATAGGTGCTGATAACAATGGCCTGGAGTGCTCTGACTGCCACTTACATAAAGAGCAAAACAGAATTGCTAAATGCATATAGATGATTGGCTTGGACTATCTTGGGAGCCAGATTCAGAAGAAAAGGGCAAGCTGCTTAGGTCTCAGGCCCAGGAGTAGTAGACCTCTCTTATTAGTGTCTCCAGTGTTTGAATCATAGATTTAAATTTGTATTAATAGGTGTGGGTGGTTTTTTTCCTTCTTTTGTTGCGCAGAGCTTAATATTTCCTAAATATTTTTATGTCTCTGTTAATCTTTTTAGAGTAATTCATGTACATATCTTGCCCTTTCTTTTTTCCTAACATTCTTCTCCTTCCCCGATTTATATGTAATTTAAACCCAAACCCATTCTTAAGCTTTTTCCTCCTTAGTTCCAGCAGTGGAAGTAAATGACCCATCTACACACTGGGACAGGTCCTGGCCCATCCTCATTTTTATTTGTGTACTACTGTCTTAGATATAGGGATAGGGTTCAGAAGACTGCCCAGCAGAGCCAGGTGGGGGCTCAGAAAACCCTGCTGCTATGTCTGCTTGCTCATTGGGTAATATCAGCACTCAGTGTGGGGACAGGATTAAGTGTTAACACCTTCTGAAAAGATCTTAAATTACATGCGCTGTTGTCATGCCGGAACCATTTATCAACATTCTTTTTCTTTGTCTCTCTAGAACTGGTACTCAAGGTAAGGATTCAGAACCCATCTCTTCGAGAAAATGATTTCATTGAAATTGAACTGGACCGGCAAGAGCTCACCTACCAGGAATTGCTCAGAGTGAGTTGCTGTGAGCTGGGCGTTAATCCAGATCAAGTGGAGAAGATCAGAAAGTTACCCAATACCCTGGTAAGAAAGGTAAGAAAGCTCTGTGAAGCATGAGTGGACTTTCTGCATGGATGGAGAACACCTGGACTCCTCCTCTAATCCAAATAATGTGAGTCACAATTGAAGAAAGGAGGAAGGACTAGGAAGGCCGCAAAGCGTGGTTTACCAGAGTTGAGCAGTCAGTTCAGTCTTGCCTTCTACCTGCTCTGACAGTGCCTCACCAGTGGTTCAAATCCATGAGCAGCTCTGAAGGGGAGAGATGGATAGTCTCCACCTGGTTCCGTTTTTATAGCCTCAGAAGCCTGACAGAAGGTTGCTGTGAGCTGAAACACACTTGATGGCAGGGAGTTGGGGTGTTTTTTGTTGCTTTTTTACTGGCAGGGAGTTTTGACTGTGGCTAGAGAGACCCTGACACTTGGGAGAGAGATAGGATACCTGAAGAGAATTTTGGGAATAGCCATTGACATGCACTTATTTTCAGATATTTTACTGAATATCTGAAACTTGTCTATAAACAAATACCTATCTGAATAACTATAAAGATTAGTGCAATATTTAGTGTCTTATGCTTTATAGAATAAGGACCAAATTAAGCCACAGCAAACCCACATAAATACATGTGCAGCCCCTCTGATGTCCCTGGGTTCCTTGAACATCTGGCCCGTCAGGCTTCTAGCTTCACTGGGCCCCTGAAGCATTGCCTCCCTCTTCAACATGTGCTCAGTCTGTAGCAGCTGCTGCTCAGGGCTTCCACCATCCCAGCCTAACTCAGTCTGTGGGGACTGTCCTGGATGGTCACGGATTTATCTGTGCCACAGGAATGGGGGTTTTCCCCTTGGTTTTTTGCTTTTAAGTTTTAAAATGAGTCAATACTAATGGCAACTGGGCACATCCAACATGTGGAGTCAGATGACTCCTTTTAATGTTTAACCTCCTTTTGTTTTAGGACAAAGATGTTGCCCGACTCCAAGATTTCCAAGAGCTAGAACTGGTTCTAATGATAAGTGAAAATAATTTTCTGTTTCGAAATGCTGCATCCACACTGACTGAAAGGCCTTGCTACAACAGGAGAGCTTCAAAACTGACTTACTGATACAGCAGGGACTTTTATCACTGAGGACTGTGACAGCGAGTGTCACCTCTGGGCCAAGGACAGGCCATTGATCTACATCAAGGCTAGTATTCTCCAGTTCTGCCTTGGCTTCCCGGGATGGCCTGGGTGCCACTGCGTAGTGTACACTAACACCGTCTGCCGCGGTAGGAAGCCCCTTACCTCCCCAAGCAGTGGTGCCATTTTTCCAAGCCTCTTGGTGCACAATAAACCTATCGCTTGAAGTTTGAACAGCTGAGAAGTGGTCTGGAGAGGCAGAAGGCGAAGGTTTCTATATCCTGAGGGCTTTACGTGTAGCATGTGAGAGAGCTGTCTCAGCAGAAGACGAGAGCTGAGCCTATTCTGAGTCTCCTCTTGACAGTGCATCCAAAGGGCTGAAATGCTCTGTCTGTGGTGTTGCATGCTCACAACTCCTGAAATGTGAACTAACCAGAGAGGAAAACTGGGTACTGGACAAAGGAATTTTAGTATGTCTTGTAGCTGTGAGGTTTCATATAACATATTTATAAATGTTACTCAGGTTTAAAGTATTTAAGAATACAGTTACCTAATTGTAAATAGGCTGTTAACCAAAAGAGCCTCCCTCCCCCCACTTTTTCCGCTCACACTCATGCTTGCTTCTCCGGGTCTAATCTGCCTTTGCCTAGTCGTCACCACATTGACTCCCCTTCGTGGTCACTAGAGGGCTCTCGGATGCTTCCTTCCCGGGCAGCCCCTCCACTCTGAAGCGATGCCTGCCATCTCTCGATATGTTTAATTGCACCAGACAAGAAGAGCACAAAGCCTTGCTGGTCGTGTTCTCCACTTTCCTTTTCCACTAGAAATGAAAAGTCATTTTTGAGACTGAATCTGTTGATATTTTAAAGGTTATTGCAGGAAATGGAGCTAAAGGAGTTAGTGTCTTTATTTTTGTATCAAAGATAAAGATTATTTTGAAATTATTAAGATTTTTACACAACTCTGAAATCTGTTGTTTTTGTAAACAAATTGTTTGATCGGGGGGTCCTTGCTCCCCTTGCCCTCCCCACCCCAAATGAACTTAACACAGTCAACTGTGAGTCTACCAGACTTTATTCTGAAGTAAATGGAAAAACAAAAACAACCTGATTAAACTCTTGAGCATGATAGGATAATTTTTAAAAGAATGGATTCTCCTTTTTCTTCAGTGTCTTTAATGTTAACTGAAAAGCCCCTGTCTTGTTGAAGCAAACAGCTTAGCTTTGGAGTTAAGAATTAGCACACTTAGACACACAGGCAAGCGGGGCTCTGCGCCGGCTGTGGAGGAGCATCCCTGCTGTCTTAAGAAGCTTCTTCCCCATAGTGCCTATAGTTTCCAAAGAAACTGAACTTCCTAACTGTGTTAACTTAATTTTATTGGAACACTACAGTTAAGTGAGAACGTGCAGAAGATGTCAATGAAAGAGAATGTTGTGCTCAGATAATGGCCTCCTGCTGCTGCCTAAATGCTGAGATGAGGTGGAAATGTGTTTCGAGGCCAAATTCATGGAGTCACTCTGTTTAGTGACTTAATTGTATTCCACCAATTACTGATGATGACTTTCTCACCCTTGAATAAAGTGAAGGTGACTTAGGCCCCTTTTCTCTAAGCGCTTTAAGGACAGAAAACTCCCTTGTGTTTCAGCCAATCAGAAGCCATTTGACCTAGAGGCACTAGCCTTCCCCCCACTTCTTTGCCTTGAGAAAAGTTATCGATAGAATTAAAGCTAGTTCTATCCTGGGGGAAATAAATTCAGTATTAATTCATGTCTGAGTTAACTGGGTTTCATATTTCTGCAACCATCCAGATTAAGCAGAGATTCGCAGAAACACTAGAGGCCTCTACCTGAGAGATGAGCTATTGAAGGGTAGCCTGGTCCCTCTAGGGCAGTTCTCAGGCTCAGAAACAAGTGAGTCGGGGGCTGAGTGTCTCAGGGGAGAGCTAGGCCTGAGGTAGCTCTGCCCGACACTGGTGTCTCATCTCCTTTATACAGTCCTCTGTTGTCGACTGGCTCCTGCGTGCAGCAGTGGGGTTAGACTGCACCCTTGTTGGTAGGTGAGTTTAAAGTCTTAATCTATGCATTCAGAGAAATATTTTTATATGCTTTGTGTAATTTATAACAAGAATTTTTTTTAGCTTTGTTAACTGTGAATTCACCCCTCCTCCCCCACTGCATATTTAAAGCATGTGTTCATACTGTGTGTAAACATTCACCGATTTTCTCTTTATGCATTGCTGACTGTTCAAACATAACAAGTGTTATTAAAATTAAATATTAACTAATCAAGGCCACATCCTTGTATTTTGGTGTCCTAAACAGCACTAGAGTCAGCTGGAGGCGGTTCAAAGGGGCCCACAGCCCCTGAGTAAGATGCTCTTGGTCTGTTTATCACCTGAGCTGCCTGCATCCCGCTGCTGCTGCTGCTGCCGCCGCCGCCACACTCACTCCCTGTCACTAGCACATAGAGATGGATATTTTGTGTGGCATCTTTTCTCCCAGTTCACAGCAGTCAGCTTTGTTTCCCCTGAGAAGCTGAGCTAGCTAGATGGAGGTCATCCCCTATTAACCACATTTTCTGATTATCCTATTTACTTTACACAACTGAGCCTCTCCTTTGGGCTGTCGGCTCCTGTCAGAGCTGCAATGAGCATAGAAGTAAACTCCGGAGATAGGAGAGGAAATACAGCCTTACACCTTCAGATCCTTAGCTGCCGAGTGAATCTGCGTTTCTCTTGGTTTAGGGCAGCCAGAGTCTCACAAAGCAGACGTCGTGCCAAATTGGCCTAATAAATCAGAGAGCATAGCAAAGACCTTTTCTTAGCACCAAGGAGAGGCAGCATAATTTGGGCATTTGTGCCTTCATACTTGCTTTATCACAGGATGGAAATCTTCTTGCATATACTCATAAACATCCTGGGTGGAAACAGCCTGCCTGGGGGGATGGGGATGTGATTAACCTTTAATAAATGGTCCTGCAGCACAGGCCGACCTGGAACATATAGAAAAACCAGATCAAAGGAACCATCTCCATGCCTGCCGCTGACCATTTAGGGTAGAGATTGGGAGGAAATCACCCACAAACAAATCACAGCATCCACAGAATCAAAGGTGCAGGAAATGAAAGATGCAGAGGAACCGGAAAACAGTAAGGTAACAAAGAGAAGAGAGCCATTCCAAATCCCAGAGGCCTTGTGTCAGGTGAACTCTGACCTGCAGAAAATGAACTCTGATGGCTACTCAATGCACATTTCAGTCACCGCCTCGCATCTCCCTAGTTGGCCGGCAGCCGCCAGGGCAGGTGGTGGCCTCTGGGCTCTGCGAGCTGGCACATTCCGCTCTGGCTGGGCTGAGGAAGATGAATGGCTGGCTGAGAGGCTGCAACGGTTATGGGGACCGTCTGGAATAGACTCCTACAGGAGTGAGGAAACAAAGCACCACATTCTCAGCCCCGTGGTCTGAAAGGTGACAAACTCAGCAGCTCTCCCCAGTGGCCTTAGGTCAGATTTCAGGGGCTTTATTCCTCACCTTTCTCTGCACAGCTACTCCAGAATGACTGGCAATTACCCAGTCATTTCTGATTGGGAAGACACGTTTCCAGCCAAAAGCTTTTGGGGCTGTAGTTTGTAGATAGCTGCAGCCATGCACATGGACGTACAGTCTGCCGCCTCCACTTTCTTCCTGCATCCCCCAAAGGTCCTAACCCCAAAAAACTGTACAGAGCCTCCATTAGCATGTATATACTGTTGAGCACATCACTTTATTTCATCGGTGTCCATTTCTAATGGATTCTAGGCAGCACCTCCAAGTACAGGGCTCAGTTCTTAGGAGTGGCCTGTTCTGGCAGTCTTCTATTTCAGGAGGAAAGCTTTATTTTATTTTTTTTTTTAAAAAAAACCACATTAGAAAATATGAAAAAAAAATCAGACCAGGGAAGGAGATTGCCCCATAAAATGATTGAGAACAATGTGGTGTGGAAATAACACTAGACTAGGAATCAGGAGGTCCGTGGAGCCAAGTTTGGGCCCTGCCTCTTAATTAGCGTCACCCGTTGGACTCACTTCCTCATCTAAAGTATTACTTTACTGGGGTCAAAGTCGAACAACTGCCCCCAGGATTTGCCACCAAGTCCATTCTGCAGACACACTTGGTGTCATTTCTCTTCCCGGTGAAAGTCAGGGATGGCCAGGAGGACATGTTTTAGGCCAGTCCAGCATCTTTCGCCATCCCATAGAAGATGCCTCTTGCTGCAATTAGGTTGGCTGGAGAATCAAATTCAGCTATTGTTCCCTTGTCCAGAACCAGGACCCTAGAAAGAAGAAGAACGCTCAGGTCACCATCAGCTCAGATCTGGTTGCATAGGCTGGACCTGCCTATCGAGGGACGCTCAGGGCCCACAGTGACATGCCAACCCACCCACTTCAGTCAACCCAGCCGCCACACCGCATGTGCATGCCTGTGAGGCTGGTTATTTTAGCCGCTACCTTTGCTTTCCTGGCAAACGAGGCGGTTTCTGGGATCAAACACATGGATCTATTCATCTTTGCTAGTTGGTGCTCGGAAAACCTTCCCTAATGAGCCCTTCCCTTCTCTGGGGTCACGGGGCTTGGGGCTGGTTGTACGCAGGGAGCCACGGGCCTGAGTGCTGGGCCCTGCACACTTCCATCTGCTTTGTACCAGCTCACAAAGGCTCGGCGGGAAACCAGGCTGCAGCGAGGCCCAGCGTCAGAATCTGGGGCTGCAGCTGCCAATCTGGCTGACGCTGACAGTGGGTCTCTGCCCCCCATGGTCAGACGTGGGCCAGCGATTAGAAACTCCTGCCAAGCAAACACAGGGCCCACCTGGTGCAGAGCTAACAGACTGGCTCCGTGGGGTGGGGCGAGAGAATGAGAAAGGCCATCCCAAGCCTACCTCCCTCCTCCCCTGCACCTCTCCCCTCACTGCTCGCCTTCTGAGAACATTACTTAGAGTTAGGATGGAGTACTTATTCCTGGTCCCCAAAGGCTACCACAGAGAACCTGTTCCCCCTCTGCTCCATCTTCCTCCCACTTCAGCTTCATGCATCCTCATTCGTCTGCATAAATTGCAATAGTAACAGATAGTCCTGAGACCAGATCTTTCTGATCCCCAATGTGGGGACCCCAAGGATCATGTGTTTTCTCTAAGTCACTTCCTTGTCTGTGAAATAGTATGATCACACCCACCCCACAAGGGTAGCTTTGTTTTTTAAAAAAGACCAACATGCAATATTACTCAAAATAGGTGACCTGGGAAGACATTATGCTGAGTGAAATATCTCAGTCACAAAGGGACAAATACTGCATAGTGCCACTGTTGTAGAAAGGACTGACATCGGGTTTGGGGGGAGACTGAGAAAGATGGGATAAATAATGTATACTGCATTGAAACAGATGAGGGAGAAAAATGTTTAGAAGGGATATGTGATTAGGTATTATTGTCATGACAGAGGTCCAGAATGAAAGCTGCATAGTGGAGTGGACCTGGGGGGAGGGATTGTAAAACAGTGGGGAACTTTTCTTTTACTTTTCAAAGAGAAGAGTGTATTGGGGGCAGGGGAGAGGTGGGCAGGGAGAAAAGTACAACAATGAATGAATGGAAATCCAAAGTCTCTGTAAATTTTCATTAAAATTAATTTAAAAAATTATAAAAAAAAAAAGACCAACATTTGCCCATCAAGTCACTTTTGACTCATGGTCACCTGGTAAGTCAGAGTAAAACTGTCCTGTAGGGTTGCCACGGCCCTGGTGGTGCAGTGCCCAGCTCCTAACCAAATTACCTGTAGTCTGAACCTCCCAGTTACTCTGTGGAAGGAAGACCACATACTCCCAGGTTTATAGGCCTAGAAACCCCAAAGGGCCGTTCTACTCTGCCCTGCAGGCCCACTGTGAGGCCTGTAGAGTCACAGTGAAGCCCATGGAGCCACTGTAACTCGGAATCTCAATGGCAGCAGATTGATCTTTATGGAAGCAGACTGTCAGATCTTTATCCGGAGGAGTGGCCGGTAATTCAAACCACCATTCTCTTGGTCAGAGGTCAAGTGCTTAACTCTGGCACCAGGAGGGTTCTTACTCACAGGATGGGAATGAGGTACAAATGGAATGATGAGGCTGTGAGCACTGGGTATGTGGAAATTCTCGAACTAGATGCTCAGGAAATGCTGGGTCTCGGAAGGAAAGTTTGTCTCATTAATAGGCAGCAGGGTGGTGGTGGCCTGTGCCTGATTCACAATGTCTGGCGAGTCCCAGTGTGCCCATGCCCGCATGTTGGTAACCCCAAAGTGTCTCGAGTGCTCCCCAAAACATCACTGTACCCCCCTATGCCTACCCAAGTGGCTCCACTTTCTTCAGCTTCTAATCCTTACCTGGAAAATCCCACTCTGTCTCCCATTCCCCTCAAGTCCCATGAGGTCACTCCTGCTTGGCCAACCCTGATCTGTCCTCCTCCACCACAGCGTAGGTAACCTCACAAGGTCCCCAATAACTTGGTGCCCAAGCCCACCTGGTGTAGTCCATGATGGTGTTGAGCCTGTGAGCGATGGTCAGCACGGTACAGGCCTCAAACTGAGTGCGGATGGTGGCCTGGATGAGGTCATCGGTCTCCAGATCAATGGCGGCCGTGGCTTCGTCTAAAACGAGGATTCGGCTTTTGCGGAGCAGGGCTCGGGCCAGGCACACAAGCTGCCGCTGGCCAACACTGAGAATGAGAAAGCAAGCATTTGTGTCTTGGAGCCCCCGACCTCCCTCAAGCCCTGATCCTAAACTGCTTTTGCTTCCACTCCTTCCCCATGGCCCAGGCCTGACTTTGTGTGCAACCTCTCCCGTTTCCACCATAGCCCTGCCTCCCTGAAACCCAGAATGAGGTGTGGATACCGCAGGGATGATGATGAGCTTTGTGAGCAGCATGAGGGCTCTATAACATCGTCATATCCCCTAGGCTTGTTTTTGGCCCCTGCACGCTTGACTTCCTTTGCTATTTCTTCACCCTTGCTCTTCAGCAAATGCCACCTTTCTCTGCTTCACCTCATTTACACCTAGTCTGAACATGCTTGTGGTATTCTGAATCTATTGCTCAAAATTAATTTTCTAGACCATTGTCTTTGGCCTTGCCACATGGCCAAGAAGAAATGTGAAGATAGAACGGATACAACCTGAGGCTCCATCCTACCAGAAGGCAAGACTCAAATTGTCACCTTTAGTATCCACCCCCTGCCCCCGAGGGCATGGTCTATACCCCAGGGGCCCTATAAAGAAGATTGCATCTGGAAAGTTTACTCTCTTTTCTCAACTCTCCTGGGACATTACTTCTAACCTGATCCAGTTGCCTCAACTCTGCCTGTCCTGAAAGCATGTGCCCCACCTACATCATCAAAAGCTGAGAAATTACTGTTGATTATGCCAGTCAGACCTACAAGAGCATAGCGGCAGCCACAGCAGAGAACCAGAGACCCAAAGTGAGACACTGCTGACCTGGGACTGCCACCCCATAGAACCAGAAGTCAAGGCTTCTGGCCAAGCCTTGACTTCTGGTTAAGCTTGCTGGAATATTGGGGGGAGGACACCCTAATTGGCAGGACTAAGGGAGCTTTATAACTCTGGGCTAAGGCTGCAAGGCTGAAGGCTGAAGAGCCTGCAAGCACACTTCAGAAGTTGCCCTGAGAAACTATTCTGTTGCCAGCCTGACTTGTAGCCTGTTAAATCACCCCATAAGCCCCATAACCATGAGTATGTTTCTGAGTGGTCTTCATAGCTATTGCAATGCATTTCAGCTCCATCAGGGCAGTAGGATTAGTACTGCAATTAGAAATAGGGATGGGAGGTGGGAGACGTCTGACTCCATAGAAGTTGGTTTCATGTTGTCGATGTTGTTGATGGGAGCAGTCTCCCCTTGTGGAGTTAGCAGAGGTCAGATGTGGCCATCCCCATGCTGTCCTTGCTCTTTTTATAATCCTCAAGGAGCCTCGGGGTGCTAAAGGGTAAGTGCTCAGAGACTAATCTCTCAGACTGAGAGATTAGACGTCCAAATCAATGCAACAGTTCTGCAGCAGAAAGGCCTAATGAGATGCTTCCAGAAAGATTACAGCCGAGAAAACCCTACAGGCAGCTCTATCCTGTCATATGGGGTTGCTACGAGCATAAATCAACTCAACAGCTCTTCACGACACGAACATGGTTAAGTGGCCGTTCCTGAGCACCTGCATATACACACCTCGCTGTGCCATCTTGCTGTGCCTTGTAGACAGTTTAGATCATCATTCACTCCCCTCCCCATAGAGAACAGAGACCAGAGAGGGCAGGGCAAAGAACAAGCTGGGGAGCCCCTGTGTCTGGTCACTGGGGAGGTGGAGGAGGGCCAGGGTGCACTCCCTTACCCTTCCCATCTTAGAGGCCAAAGCCTGTGGACAAGGCAAGGCAGTGTTCTCAACCTCGGAGGCCTTTGAACCCCCACACCCAAGGACAAATACCTCAGCCCTTTCCAAAGGGGTGAGTCACTACCACAGGAGCGAAGGCCAGGCTTACTCCCTGGCCCATTCCCGCAACTGATGAAAGCTCTGGCAACAGAATGAACCACCACATTGAATTCAGCGCTGATTTATGGTGGGATTGGAACAGGGAGGCGACTATCCTTGAAGTGGCGACGAGCTCAGTGAGAAGAAGGAAGACAATTTCTGTCTCCGATCCTGAGGGTGTGTGTGTGTGTGTGTGTGTGTGTGTGAGGGCAATGTTCTATCCAGCTTGCTGATAATAAGCAAGCATAGGGGAGCAGATGGAAAAAATGTTAGGAGGTGTGGGGTCTGGTGAGGCCATGCCTGTTCACCAGTCACCTCTGATGTGATTATGTCATTTCTGCCTGGAGAGGCTACCTGGGGTGGTCGACAGTCCCACTCGTGCATGGAGAAGTGGGGGAGGGGACTGAGCTACAGGTTTGCATAAAAGTCTCCCTACCCTGTCTCTGCTAGCTCGGCGACTATGGGCCTTGAATCTGTTACTTCTGAGGCTCATTCTGCCTCCACAGGATTACAATAAGCCTTAAACGGGACAGGGAGGCTAAGTGGAGAAAACATGCAAATGGTCATTTAATTAGTGCTGCTGTTGTTTTTTGATGTCTGGGGAGGTTCCAGGAGCACAGACAGAACATCATCATCATCATCATCATCATCATCATCATCATCATCGCCGCCAATATTTAGCCAGGCTAAATAGTGTCCATCCTCTCCCTAGGTATGACTGCACTGTCCACTATGACAGCCATGGCTACTGAACATCCGAATGTGACTTATCCAGATGGACATGTGCTGCACCCAAAGTTCATATACAAAAGATAACATATCTCTAGGTGCAACCACTATGGAAGGCTGTATGGTGCTTTCTCAAAAAGTTGCAAATAGAGATACCATTTGACCCAGTAATTCTACTACTGGGAATATACCCCAAAGAAACCCTAACTGCCACCCAAGCAGATATATGCACACCCATGTTTATTACACCTTTGTTCATAATAGCAAAGAGTTGGAAACAACCCAAGAGGCCCATCAAGTGGATAGAGAAGCTGTGGTATATTTACACAATGGAATACTATGCTGCATTGAAAAACAAGGAATTCATAAAATATGCAAAATGGATGACCCTGGAGTATATTATGTTGAGTGAACTATTTCAGACACAAAAGGACAAATATTGCATAGGGCCACTGTTGTAAAACAGGACTGACATCTGGGTTGAGGGAAGACTGAGAAAGAGGGGATAAAGAATGTATACTGCATTGAAACAGATGAGGGAGAGAACTATTTAAAAGGGATATATGATTAGGTATTATTGTCATGAAAGGAGTCCAGAATGAAGGTTGCACAGTGGAGTGGACTTGGGGGGAGGGACTGAATAACAATGAAAGAATTTTACTTTTCAAAGAGAAGAACAAATTAGGGGGGAGGGCATGACAGGGAGAAAAGTGCACCAATGAATGTTTGGAAACCCTAAGTCTCTGTAACCTTTCATTAAAATGAATTTTGAAAAACCAAAAAAAGATAACATATCTCTAATAATTTTAATATTGATTATGTTTTGAAATGAGCCCACACCCTTGACATCAAGTCCATTCTGATTGATAATACCCCCATAGGACAGAGTAGATCTGCTCCAGAGGGTTTCCAGGGATGTAATTTTTGTCTATTGTCGAGTCAGAACCAACTCATAGCTGACCGTCCAGCAGGTTTTCAGAGGCAATTAATTGCATGGGAGGAGACTGCAAATCCTTCTCCAGCAGAGCAGCCTTAGGGATTGCAGTGCAGCTTCTTGCCACTAGGCCATCAGAGCGCCAAGGCTTTAAATCTTTCAAGAAGCAGACTGGCACATACCTCTTCTGAGAAGCAGGTGATGGGTTTGAACTACCTAACTTTTGGTTAACAAATGAGTATTTAACCACTGTACTCTTTGAAATTAATGTAGTTTGGATGTATCTGGCTAAATTAAATAGACTTTCTAATTAATCTAAGTATGAAGTATATTAGATTTCTAAAATATTTATGTTCCATTATTAAAGTATGTTATAGCATACTTACTATATAAAATATATTTTCCTCTGTTTCTTTTCACTTTTTGAAAAAATGTGACAACTAGAAATAATTTTAATTATATATATAGCTATGTTGCATTATTTTTGGATAGCAAAATGTTAAGGAACATTGACCATTATTATTTACATTTTAGGGACAGTCAGATTAACCCACTTGCTCCAAATCACCTAGCTAACACAAGCATGGACATCCAAGGTTTTAGAGTCAGTAAGAAGTAGCTCTGGACCATCCCTAATGCTCTAAGTTCAAAATATAAAACCAGGGATGTCTAGGCCAGTTCTGGAGAGGAGCCAAGAAAGGCATCCTCAACCTCAGGTCAGACTGTATCCATCTTGGAAAATGGCTGTGATTTTCTAAAGCAATATTGGCTAAATCCTTCCTCTTACTGGCTCCATATGTTCAGCGTCAGTTTCTTCATCTGTGACATGGAACCATGGACCATCTATGGCTTGTATGAGGAGTCAATGAAGTGGTGCCTAGTATTAGAACTCATTGCTATCGAACCTTTAGCAGGTTTTCAGAGGCTGGAAATCACACTGAGATTGCCTGTCTTTGTCCCATGGGGCAGGTGGTGGATTCGAACCACCATCCTTTGGGTTCACAGTGCACTCGAATCAGGAGAGTATAAAACAAGACACCCCCCCCCATCCCCCTTTTATTGCTATGAGTTATCTTTGTCTTGAGGGCACCTACCAACAACAGCACAATGCCCAACACCCAGCTGTTACCTGAGATTCTCCCCGCCCTCTGAGCAGGGGAAGTCCAGGCCTTCTGGCTGGGAGCTCACAAACGTGCTCAGATGGGCCAGCTCCAGGGCCTGCCACAAGTCTTCATCTGAGTAATTGCTGAAGGGGTCCAGGTTCATCCGCAGGGTCCCTGAGAACAGGATGGGGTCCTGGGGACACAGCCAGGCCCCAGAAGAAGGGAGCTCAGGCACCAGAAGGCGCCAGGGGCCCCAGGACTGATGCACAAGGGAGGATAGAGGTCGCTTTTCCCCAGGCTGTCCCAAACCCTTCTAGGCGTTGTCCAAACAGATAGGAAATTGCCTGCAGGGAAGTGATAAGGCTTGGCTTTGCCAATCACAAACTCTTCCGCTAAAGTCAGACCAGAGTCACTAATCTCAGTCCAAAGTGTCCAGTCGGCAGAAAAAAAAATACCCAAGAGGAGCTCAAAAAAGTGAAATCTAATTCTAAGTTGTTCAAAAAAAGAGAATAAGGCAGAAAGTCCTAGCAGATGGGGTGTTTGAAGATGGCTCCTGTGGTCTTGTCCCACTTACTGTCCCAGGTGTTATGGGTCCCACCAGGACACCACACATCTGCCCCTTCCAGATCTGCCACAGGATTCTTGGTGCTGTGTCCTGCCTCTGTCTTCAAGCTTCGGATATAGAAATGGGCCCACCCTCCAGGACCCACCCTCCATGGGGCAGCCCATGAGGGGTTCCAACCTGAGGGATGATGGTCAGCTGAGAACGCAGGTCGTGAAGCCCAATGTCCGCCACATTGAGGCCGTCAATGCGGATCTCCCCAGTGGCCGCCTCCAGGATACGGAACAGGCAGAGTGTCATGGATGATTTGCCGGCCCCTGTGCGCCCCACAATCCCCACCTGCAGAAAGTGTGCAAGTGGTCAGTCAGTGAGAGGCTGAGGAGAATTGAGGAAAGGAGGCCAAGCAGAGGACTGACCTGGATCCAGGCTCCCTCTGAGGTCTGTGGCCACATCTTCCCAGCACAGGCACACACTGGCCGACCCATCCCATCGTACCTTCTCACCACCCCGCACGCACAAACTCAGGTCCTTCAGCACCAGGTCCAGGCCTTGCCGGTAGCGCACCGCGTAATTCCGGAATTCCACCTCACCACGTGAGGGCCAGCCCTGTGGGGGGCGGCTGCCCTCTATCACCCAGGGAGCCTGAACACAAGAGATTCCACATTAACATGACACCTCCTTCCCAGGCTGGCCCTCTCCCATGTTCAGCCTGTGGATCCTTAATCTTTACCCACTGTGACTTGTTAAAGAATAAGAATGTCAGTTCAAAGACTGAAGAACACTCAATGCCTTTCAATTAGGGTATTGAAATATACCTTGGTCTGCAGAAAGAATAAACAACTCTGTCTTAGAAGAAATACAGCCAGCACTCTCCTTAGAGGTGAAGGAGTGTAGGACTTTCTCCTACATATTTTAGGCACGTTTTCAGGAGGGGACATTATGTTTGTAAGGGTGGAAGGTCAGAGACGGATAAGAGCCTTGACAAGATGGACTGACATGGTGACTGCAGCAGTGGGCTTAAACACATTTCTCCCAGCCTTCTCCTAAGGGATCTATAGCCTTTTTCAAGAGTAGGTAAAAATACTCAGACACTTCAGGGATTACTGGCTCTGAATTGACACTAATTCCAGGAGACACAAAATATCAATGTAGTCTATTTATCTGAGTATGAGCTAATGGAGGTCAGGTGATCAATAAAATTTTAGCTTAAAAAAAAAATCTTTACCCACTGTGGTCCCTAGGGCACCTCTGTGATCCAATCTTGCAATTTAATAAATCCTTTATTCCTCAATGGCTTCTCAGAAATGTCTCTCTTGTGCCCCTCTGCTTCCTCCTTGTGTTCCATGTTCCTGAGATTCCCTGTCCCTGCCAGCACTCCTTTCTCTATTCATTCATTCATTCCTTTTTTTTTTTTAAGCTAAAGCAGCTTTATTAAGGGGTCTCCTGGATGGGATTCCTTGGTCTGCTCTCTATTCTTTCTTATTGATTAGTTATTCTGTGCCAGGCCCAGGGGGCATGATGGGAACAAGACAGTTAGTAGGAAGAGGCACACCATCAGCAATAAGCACATCTCTAGGTGATGTGCCCACGGGATGAGCACACAGGGATGAGAGACGCTTAATTCTGTTGGTCTGTGCAGGGTGGTCAGGAAAGGCTTCCTGGAGGAGGTGGTATTTGAGTCAATATCTCCTGAAGGAGGTGAGAGCACAAGCAAGTGTGGCTACAACGGGGAAGGATATTCTAGGCAGAGCAAACAGCCAGTACAGATACTCCTGTGAACTCAGGAAGAACAAGAGAGAGGTAGGAGGGAGGAGAGTGAGGTAATTAGTGATGTTATCATATAGGACCTTGAAGGACATTTTAAGGTGCAAAGGATTTTATTTGCTTGTTTGTTTTTTACCTTGAGCAAGATGCAGAGATGTTGCAATGCTATGCACAGCACAGCAATGTGATTTGATGTGTTTTTAAAGATTCCCTTTGACTGCGTTGAGGAATACAGACTGGGAGAGGGGAGGGATAGTGGAAACAGGGAGATTAGTTGGACTGTTGGCTATAATCTGGGCATGAGATGGTGATGACCTCAAGGCAGCACCAGCTATATAATTTTCAGGGTCCAGTGCAAAATGAAAATCTGAGGACTTTTGTTCAAAAAGTATTAAGAATTACAAGGTAGCAACAGCAAGGCATTAAACCTAGCGTGAGGCCTTTCTAAGGCCAGAGGTCCTTCGAAGAGCAGGGTCCTGTGTGAAGGCAGAAGTCATACCCATGTACCAGCTCTACACTTCAAGGCCAGGATGCTAGACAGCCAGCAGTCAAAGCGGGAAAGAGGTGCAGACTGCTGTCTCGAAAGGAGGTGTCTGAGAAAAGAGAAGGTAGTGACGTGGAGGGTGGAAATTTTAGGGTAGGAAGAGAGGATTATACATCTAGAGAGAGGGCAAGTGGAATGGTAGATATGAAGAATGGGGACGGTTATGGTTTAGTGGTAAGATTCTCTTGCCTTCCATGCAAGAGACCTGGGTTCAATTCCTGGTCAGAGCACCTCATAGATTTGTGTGTCAGTGGAGGTTTGTCCAGGTTGCAGCAATTTCCAGACTAAGACAGACCAGGGCAAAAAAAAGGCCTGATGATCTACTTCCAAAAAAATATGGGCCAATGAAAACCCTATGCAGCATTACTGAATGCTTTTGGTTTTGGGTTTTGTTTTTAATTACTGAATGTTTTGTTCACAGATTTTATAGATGAATCCTGGTCAAAATGGAGGAAATAAAAACCAGAGTTTTAAAACTTCATGGAATACAGAGTTTGTGGATGTACTTGAGCAGGATGAATACCCAAAGCCACTGCTCTGAGATGATCTTTAAACCATAAACCTAAAATATTTCCTTTTGACCAAATCATAGTTTAACTAGTCAAGAATATCTATCTTGAACATTGGGCTCTTTTAAGAACTTCTTATACAGAATCAAATTGACAAACACAACTCAAAAGATGAGATAGGGGACTTGGAAGGTGATGAGTGTATGGAGATGGGAGGGAACAATCTGGAAAAGGAGAGTAAAGATGGTTGGTTACACAACTTGAACATAACAATGTCACTACATCATACACATTGAATTGTTGAACTGGTTTATATTCTGCTGTATATAGTCTCCACAAGAACAAAAAGAAACTACATTTTTAACAGAGAAAGCCCGGAGTGGCAGAACGATCCCATCCCATCGTGCAGGTGCTCAGGGGCTGACCTGACAGCGGTTAGTAATAGCCGACATGGAGATGGGGAGCCTGAAGTCCCCAAAAGGGGAAGTGATGGTGGGTGGTGCCTGGGGAGGTGGAGGCCACAGGGATGAGAAGTTACACCAGGAGGAATGGTGGGCCTGGGGTAGGGGAGCCTGTCATGAAGGTCAACTGGCCAGGCAAGAGCAAGGGTCACAGGGGCCATGAGATAGAGGGGTCTAAAAAGAGGAAGGAGTCATGCTATCTGAACACCACTGAGGGGCTGGCTGAAGTGACGATGGAAAACCATCTCCTGGTTTTAAGACCTGGGAAGTCACTGGAGAACACTTTCAGTGGCAACAGAAACCAGACTGGAACGGGCAGATGAGGGGAAGGGAACGAAACACTGGCTATCGCTCAGCTGGAATGTCCCTTTCCCCATTATCCTTCTGTCTTGTGCCTTCATCTCCATCAGAACTTGACTTAGAGTTATCACCTCCTCCAGGTGGTCTTCCGTGCAGCAGCACCAAGGATTTCTCATCCCTGAGTATCAGCACCTTCTTACATAAAAAGGAAGGTCTTTATTTGTTGATTCTGTGTCTCCTCCTACAACTGTACAAGGCTCACAGGGACACGAAGATGCAGAGTCTAACTATCTAGCATTCCCGTCCATAAGCAAGGAGCAGAGAGGACGGGGCAGTAGCTGGCATGGGATATAAGGTAAGGGTAAGGGAGGGGCGGGGGGTTGTTTGTTTAGAATGAGAGATACAATCACATATGTTTGCAGATAGATAAGAATCACCCAAGAGAAGGGTGTGATCCCGGAGTTTGAGAATACAACTGAGGAAGTCAAGGCCTTGAGTGGCAATGAGAAAAAGCAGAACCTGGACTCTGAAACGAGGAAGGACATTTCCTCCTAGAAGTGAAGATAATTCAGGCAGGCTGAAGGGTTTCAGAGGCAGGAGGGTTGCCAGAGTTCACATTTTATGATGTTGTTGTTGTTGTTATGTGCCATCGAGTTGTTTGCGACTCATAGCGACCCTATGTACAACAGCCCTAAACCCTGCTCTATCCTGTACCAATCGCACTGCCTCTGACACACCCATTCCGATTACCCCAGTCACTGAATCAATCCACTTCATAGAGGGTCTTCCCCTCCTGTGCTGTCCCTCTACTCTACCCAGCATGATGTCCCTCTCCAAAGACCTGTCTCTCCTTGCAACATGTCCAAAGTATGTCAGACGAAGCCCCAGAATCTTTGCCTCCAAGGAGTAGCCTGATTTAACCCTCTCTAGGATGAATCTGTTTGTTTTCTTGGCAGTCCATGGCCTGTATCAGGCGCACCTTCGTCTCCAAAGAGACACCGTTGCTCTTGAGTACTTTGGAGAGGTCCCTTTATGATATTTTTCCTCATTAAATGGCAAGTAAAGTCCAAATCTGAGTGCAAAGGGGAAGGAGATGTGGGGGTTTGAGGAGAGAGAATGTCCGCAGCAGCTCTCTTGGAAAGTGGGGACACGTACTTGTCGAGAAGGCCAGGTAGGAATGCCCAGCTGTGATGGTGTCATGATATTTGACGCTAACACCAGTGATTTTTCTCCAGCAGTGTTATGGGTGCTCAGGGCAGGCAGGAAGAGTGTGACAGATAGGCAGGCTCATCTGGGCTTGGGGCTTTTTAGGGGAGCACAAGTGAGAGACAAGAGGAAAGGAGTTGGGGGCATTCGTGTGGATGGAACTTAGAATCTGGCAAGATGGAAGGCTGGTGAAGCCAGGAGGACTGGGTTAAGAAAGACAAAGGTGGGGTCTCTGGTTTGGGGCTCACCATGAGAATAAAGCACTGTAACAGAGGAGGACCTGGATTGGGAGGGACAGGTAGCAGCAGTAGGTATCACAGTGGTACATCCAGCACTGATATCTCAGAGACACTGTGGCCCTCTGGCATGAAGAGGTCCTGGGTGCAGCTATGGGAAGTAGGTTAGTGCAGAAAAGCAGATTGCCTCTTATTTCCCCAGTGCTCTTTCAGCCACCCTGAACTCTGCTCCACCCTGACTCACTCGACCATTTTACCTCCTTTATCAAAACCTGCCTATCCTTCAAATTTCAGCTGGCCTTTCAGACCACCTCTGCTGAGTGATCCCCTCCTTTCCTGCCTCCTTGGGGTGCACCAACCCTGAGTTGGCGCCACCCACTGCAGAGCCCTCAGTATGCCTTACCTCTCCCATTAAGTCAGAATCTGCTTGAAGGCAGATTCTGTGTTGCTCAGCTCTGAACATTTTTTATATGTGGGCATGGAGCTGGACCTGGTTGATGTTCACTGGGGGTTGGTGAGTGGCTGGATGAGTGAATGAAGAGCTGACTGAATGGCTTGCCTTGGGGTGTAGGGATGGTGGGCCACCTGGTCCTTTTCCCCAGGGATTCCAGATTCATGCCAGCTGTCACCCAGGTACCTACTTCAGTCTCCGTCTTAGAGTACTCCTTGACTCTCTCCACAGCCACAATGTTAGACTCCAAGTCTGACATCATTCGTACCATCCAGTTCAGAGCAAATGTCACCTGGCCGAAAGGATGGGGTCACGTGAAGGAAGAGCTCTCAGCTTACCCTGTTCCCCCCCACCCCCACAATGATTCTGGGCTGGACCCACATCCCTCGGTCCATGCTCCCATCTACAGGCCCACAGGTGGTCATCTGGTGCTCTAACACAGCTGGGTGTCAGCAGTGATGACTCAAACCTAACCAAGAACCACTTAGCCCAGCGTTTCATAAACTTAATATGCATCTCACTCCTCGGGGATTCTTATTAAAATGCAGCTCGTGATTCAACAGACAGGGTGAGACCTGAGAGTCTTCATTCCTAACAAGTTCCCGGGTGATGCTGATCAGGGTATAGCTGCTTTGTGGACCACTCTTTGGATACTAAGGAGTTCTTGATAGGAATGCGAATCTACGCCAGGCTTCCTGAGTTAGACTTTGTATTTTACCAGAATCTCTGAGTGATTCACACATGCATTAGGTTAGAGGATGCTGGCCTGGATGGTTACTTATTTATTAAAGCACTCAGGCTCCAGCCACCTGAGACACTGAAAATGTGATTGACTTTGAAAGAATCTCATTTGCAGGGAAGCATTCTTTTTATCCCCCCTTGTTGCGTACCATAAAATTGGATCTGACTGGCACAGAAGGAGATTGTCCCTCCTTCTCCAGAAGAGCTTCTGGTGGATTCAAATCACGCACCTTCAGGATTGCAGCGCAGCTTCTCACCACCAGGCCACCAGAGCTCCCTTGCAGGGAGTCGTTCCTGTACAGCCCAGGCTGCCTGACCGCCTGCACAAGTGTGTGGCCGGGTTGCCTACCTGAACCTTCTCTACAGGTCAATGAACTCATCGCTTGGTCTCTGCCAGGTGCCTTTGTATGCCTTACCAACAGCCAGGGCAGGTTTTGCTTGTTCTTTGAGGCCATTTCTCCAACACCCCACGCAGAGAGATGACTCTGGGTTCTCACAGCATTTTGCTCCTCCTTCTACCAAGTCCTATTCACTCTGCATTTGTGGTCCCTAAGGGTGCCAGTGCCTACTCACCCTCAACTGTGAGCCCTTTGAGAGCAGAACCTGGGGCAGGTGTTCATAACAGGGAGAGAGGCCCTCAGAGAATGCTTGTGACACCGGTGTGGCCACTACCTTAGTGGTGGACCTGCCCTGGCTCCCAAGCTCCTACCTACCTGCAGGGCGTAGGACACAGAAAGTCCCACCAGTCCAGGGCTCAGGCTGCTCCTCCCAATCACAGCAAAGAAAGCAGCAAACAGCACAACACAGTTGCCCACAAATTCCACTCGGATCCCCAGCCACCTGAGGAGGACCAGACAAGGAAGATTATGGAGTGGGAGCAGGAAGGAAGCAGGCTTCTGATTAGGGAGAAGGAGGGGTGGAATCCAGAACCCGGGGAGCCCTTCCAACAAAGATCATGGGGAAAGGTCTTGGAGGAGAGAGGGTAAGAGAAGAGAAAGGCGGCTTCTGACCGGTTGGAGATGATGTAGGCGTAGCAGCTCTTCTGGTTGATGTCCACCTTAGCACCACTGACAGTTATGAAGTCCTGGATTCGGCCATAGGCCCGAATGACACTGGCACCAGCCACCGTCTCAGAAAAGTGGGAGTAAATGGGTGAGCGGCTGACTGATTCTAGCCGTTTCAGTTGTCTTGAGGTGGCCACATAGAAGCGCTGACAAGCAAGAGAAAAAGAGCTTGTGGGGGTTGTTAATGTTGTTATGTGCATTGAGTGGAGCATGACTCATAGCAACCCTATGGACAGATCTGAATCCTGGCCTATCCCGTGCCATCCTCACAGTTCCTGACACTCGAGCCCATTGCAGCAGTCACTTTGTCAGTTCATCTGATTATGGATTTTCCTTTCACTGACCTTTCCAAGAATGATGTCCCTCTCCAAGGAATAGCCTTTCCTAACAACACAACCAAGTCTGGAGCGTGGGCTTCAAGTCCTCTTCACTTTCAGCAAGCAAGGTTGTTTTATCTGAATAATGCAGGTTGTTGGATCTTCCTCTAATCTAATGCCACCATCTTCTTCATAAAGACCAGCTTCTCGAATGATTTTCTCAGTGTACAGATTGAATAGATAGGGAGAGAGGAGACAGCCCTCACACATACCTTTCCTGATTTTAAACCATGTAGATAACACAACCTTTCTTGCTGAAAGTGAGGAGGACTTGAAGTGCTTGCTGCAGAATATAAAAAACTACAGCCTACAGTATGGATTGCATCTCCACATTAAGAAGACAAAAACCCTCACCACTGGGCTGATGAGCAACATTGTGATAGATGAAGAAAAGATTGAAGTTGTCAACAATTTAATCTTGCTTGAATATATAATCAACACACTTGGTATCAGCAGTTATGATATCAGGAGATATATTGCACTAGGCAAGTCTGCTGCCAGAGACCTCTTCAAATTACTGAGGAGCAATGATGTCAGTTTAAGGGCTAGGGTGTGCCTGATTTAGGGCATGGTCTTTCAATTGCTTGCTATAACTGGACAATGAATAAGGATGACAGAAGAACTGATGCCTTTTAGCTGGGGTACTGGAGAAGAATACTGAATAGCCCATGGACTGCCAAAAGAACAAACAGAGAATGTGCAGCCAGAATGCTCCTCTGAGGCAAGGATGACAAAGCTTCATTTCACATCCTTTGGCATGTTGTTAGGAAAGGCTTTCCTTGGAGAGGGACATCATGCTTGGAAAGGTGGAGGGTTAGTGAAAGAGAAAGATGACCCTCAATGAGATGGATTGACATAGTGACTGAGGCAATGGGCTCAAATGTGTCAGAGATGATGAGGATGGCACAGGATAGGATAGGGTTCGGATCTGTTGTTCATAGGGTCACTATGAATTGTACTAAACTTGATAGCAAATAAAAGCAGTGTTTCCTTGCTCTGTTCAGACAACAGCCCCTTGGTCTAGATATAGACTTGACATAAGCACAATTAATAGTTCTGAGATTCCCATCTTCTCAATGTTAGCCATAATTGGTTATGATCCATACAGTCATATGCCTTTGCATTGTCATTAAAGCATAAATAGAAATTATTCTGCTATTCTCTGCTTTCAGCCAGGATGTGGATGGAGCCTCTTCCTGGCCTCCTTTCTCCCCGAGCCTCCCCTTGCAGCATTCACATGAGATAGTTCAGGGTGACAGAGTTCCCAATTCACCCTCAGAACCAGCCTATTTCCTCCTTGGCCTCCTCCCAGCCAATCCCAGCTCTCCCCTGAGATATTGGTCCCTCTCCCAGTCTTTAAGGACCAAGGACTCAGTACCCTAATATGGCTTCAGGAACTCAGTCTGCCCTTTCTCTCTGTTTTAGGCCCTTTCCTCCATGAAGCCTTTCTGATTCTCCAGTCACAATGGCTTTACACACCCCTGGTAAAGCCTGGACTGTGGCATTGACCTTCACTGGCCATCTAAATATGCCTATCTCCACTTAAGTGTCCTAGTTAGTAAGAGAAAGAAGGACCATCTTCTCACGTGTGATTTACAGTTTCGGAAAATCACTGGAGGGTCAGCTGTGAATAGTTTCTATAAAGAGTTTTGAGAGTAATGCGCTCACACAGTGTTTTTGCAAAATTTGCAAAAATCATTTCGTATTGTTTGCCTAAAGACGGCCAGAGCTGTACAAGATGTGTTGTTTCAGAGATGCAAGTACCACCTCTTAAGCACCTTTTGAATTACCTGTATCAATTGATTAGCCCATTGCAAGATGTGCTCAGTCAGTGTGAACACCTTTTGTGGCTCTCTGCTCCCCAAACTCAAACTCACCACCAACCAGTTGAGTCCAATCCCAGGGCCTCTACAGGACAACACAGAACTGCACCATAGAGTTCCTAAGATTATAATATTCAGGGACACGAACTGTCACATCTCTCCCCACATTTTGGCTGCTGAGTTCCAAACCACTAGCCTGTCTATTAGGTGGTAACTATACGTGTTAAAGATATATCTGTTTTATTATGGGAGAAGGATGGGCAGTCTCCTCCTGTGTGATTTACCGCCTCTGAAAACCCACTGGAAGATCAGTATAGGTCAGTTCTGACTCGATAACACACAACAACAACAAGTGTCTTTAAATACATATACATATACATATACATATACATATACATGTACATGTACATATACATATACATATACATATACATATACATATACATATACATATACATATACATGTATGTTTAGATATGTATTTAAAATGTCAAGATGTATGCTACGTTCCCAACTGTTAACGTTTTATTTACAAATAACCAACAGGAGACCATTCTGGAGCAATTCAATTTATATAATAATTTCTCTTATTTTCTTTTTAACCTTGCATCAACAAATGAGATAGGGTCTATCAGATCACAGAAATGTGGTTTGCCATCAAGTCGGAACCAACCCAGAGCTGACCATCCAGAGGCAGTTAATCGCCTGGGAGGAGATTGCTCATCTTTCTTCCAGCGAAGCAGCTGGTGGATTTGAACCATGTGCCTATGTATTGGAGGACAGCTCCTTTCCACTAGGCCATGAGATCTCTTTCTTTTCTTTTTTTTTATTTCAATGAACATCTACAGAGATTGGAGAGCTCTTTCAAAGACGCAGGATAACTGAATACTGCCCTTAGCATCATCCCCGAGGTGCAGGGGTGGGTTGTTCCATCTCAAGTCCTATCTCTGCTCCACCAACCACAGGAGAGCCACGCCCACTGGCCTCCAGGCCGCTGTCTCCTGGCCACGCCCACCACAAGACCCTTTCCCGCCCCAGCCTCAGTCCATAGCCACTCCTCTGGCCACGCCCCTGGACCATCCCTTTGTCACACCCACACACCTGCACATAGGTATAAAGCGCGGCCAGCGGCACGATGACCACAGCAAAGAGAGGTGTGCTGGTTAGGATGACCACGACGGTGGAGACAGAGTTGAAGAAGCCATCGAGCAGCATTTGGATGACAGGGGCCAGGACTTCATCGATGACGTAGATGTCCTTGGAGAAGCGGTTGAGGATGCGACCGGAGGGCGTCGTGTCAAAGAAGGACTGTGGCGAGCGCATCTTGTTGTGCAGTAGCGTCTGGTGTAGCGATCTGGCAGCCTGGACACCGCCCATCGCCATCATGAAGGCCGACACCATCACCAGAAGCCCTGAGAGGGGAGACAGAGGGCAGGATCTCTCAGCTGGGCTAGGGGGCAAGGCTGGAGGGGCAGGCTGGGCGGCCAGGAAGGCTGAACTAGAGAGGCACGGGGGCAGGGCTGTGCCTGTGATGGGAGGGAGGCTAAGAGGCAGAGGTATGAGCCCAAGCAACCCACCCAGCTCAGAGTTAAGGTAGGGACTGGATGTGGATGGAGCCTCTTTCTGGCCCCTACTCTCCTCCAAGCTCACCTTGCAACATTCCCAAACCAGCATAGACACCCAGCCTCAGGGTGGTGGTGTTCTGGGGCTCATCCATCGTGGCATCATTGGCCCAGGCACTGAGCCATACGTTAGCCCCAATGGTGGCTGCACTTTGACCCACGTGTAGGAGGCAGATGAACAGCATGGTACCAATTCCTATGGCCTTAGCGTAATCCCAGAACACATTCATCTTCACCTGCAGGTGGTGAGTGGGAACAGAGGGCTCCCTTCAGCCACAGGACTATTGGGGCCTGTCCACCTTCTTCAGCCCTCAGCCATCCTACTCACGGAGCCGGTCTCTTCCTTCTCTTCCTGGATCAGCACCCCATTGGCCTTCGCTTCTACCACCTGCACAGCTTTGTCTGCTGGGCCCAGATGCCGCCGGGACACAGACCACCCTGGGCTTTCCCCTTCAGAGGACATGGTGCTGAGCTGTCTGTAGAGGTAGCTGGTCAAGCCCAGAAGATACGCCTCCAACAGGCTCACAGCATGGAGTCCCAGGAGGAGAGTCCAGGCTGCAGCCAGAGCCCAGGAGAACAGTCCCCTGCACCCTACCTGGCTAAACCAGGGAGCAGGTGGGGAGTCCTATGCAGACCCCTGGCTACTGGTGGAGGTGGTTTGAGGTGTCAGTAACTTACCTTATAAACTGTTTCCGGACCTCATATATGAGGGGCTCAGTGTCCGTGAGGTCAGTGTGGTTACTGAGTGTGTCATCAAGCAGCAGCACATCTTCTTCATCCACATCCCCCAAAGCTTCAGAGAGGTGTGGGGGGAAAGATAGAGGTTAGCTGGCTTACCATGCAAGTCCCTGTACCCCTCACCGCATCCCTACTCCACTGAAGGGGTCTGAATTGACAGGCAAGAGAGAAAATGAGAGGACTGGAAGGGCAGTAAGGAAAAGAACAGGGAACATTCCCATTGAGAACGATGGAGAAAGATGCAAATATAAGGAGCAGGAGCTCTGGAATCAGACTGACTGAGCTTAAGTTTCAATTCCTTGCTTCCTAACCTGAAACAGGTTGCTTGGCAGGTCTGAGCAGATGTTTCCAAACATATTATTCAAAACCCTCAAACACATTGTTGTTGTTTCTAAGGCTGTAAATTGCACAAGAGGAAATCGCCCATCTTTCTCCCTTAGAGCCACTGGCAGATTTGAACTGGCAGAGAGGTGCCACCATTAGGTTAGGAGCACGGCACCTAAGAGACGATGCTGCCAGAATTCCCTCTTCAAATATCAGATGGGAGCAGTGATAATCGTGACTTCGTAGTGTGATTGTGAGGGTTAAAGGAAAGATTGTCAAATGCTGAGCACAGGGCATGTTTTTGAAAGGTGCTATCAAGTTAGGGTAACTCCTCTGACCCTGTGCCCAATGGAACAAAACGTGGTCCAGTCCCCTGCCATCCTCATAATCGTCGCTGTACCTGAGCCCACTGCTGCACCCATTGCGTCAGTCCGTCTCACTGAGGGTCTCCCTTCTTTGTGCTGACTCTCTTCGTGACCAAGCAGAATGCCTTTCTCATAACCTGTGGCAAATTGTGCTCCTAATCCAAAGACTGTGTGTGTGTGTCTCTAGCAGTTCGAATCCCCTAGCAGCTCTATGGAAAAAGATAGGCAGTCTCCTCCCACTGTGAATTACAGCTTCAGAAATCTGACAGAGGGTTGCTACGAGCTGGAACGGATTTGAGAGTCATGAGTTTGAGGTGAGTTGCTGTAAAACTGAACACTGTGCCAATGGTGTATCAAGTGCCACATCTATAGTCATTGAGATCAAACCCCAACGCCATTACTTCTAAGGAGCCTTTGGTACATACTACACATAAACACTCCCCTAAAAAGGAAAACACAAAACACGACAAAAAGCCTCTATCATTGTTGTTGTTGTTGTTATGTGCCATTGAGTAGCTTGCAACTCATAGCGACCCTATGTACAAGAGCTCTAAATGCTGTTCTATCCTGTGCCAACCTAGCCATCTCAAACACACTTATTCCCACCACTCCAGTCACATAATCGATCCATCTCACCAAAGGTCTTCCTCTCCTTTGCCTCCCCTCCACTCTGTCAAACATGATGTCCCTCTCCAAGGACCAGTCCCTCCTTGCAACATGCCCAAAATATGTCAGACGAAGCTTCAGAATCCTTGACTCCAGGGAACATTCTGGCTTCACCCTCTCCAGGTCAAACCTGTTTGTTCTCCTAGCAGTCCATGGTATATTCAACACTCTTCTCCAGCACCACAGCTCAAAGGCATCAATCCTTTTTCTATCAACCCTATTCACTGTCCAACTCTCTGATGCATAGCACATAATTGCGAAGACTATAGCCCGGATCAGGTGCACCTTAGTCTCCAGCCTGACATTGTTGCTCTTCAGTACTCTTGAAAGGTCCCTCACAGCTGACTTTCCTAATGCAATTCGTCTCCTGATTTCCTGGCTGCTGTTACCAAGTGTTGACTGTGGAGTCAAGTAAATTAAAACTGTTAACTATCTCAATCTCTTCACCATCCATGCCGATGCTGCCAATTGGCCCAGTGGTTAGAATCTTTGTTTTCTTGACATTTAGCTTTTTTACACAGGTAACCTCTATCATTGAAGGAAAAAAAAATAAGCCCATTGCCACTGAGTCAATTCCAACTCTTAGTGACCTTCTAGGATAGACTAGAACTGCCTCATAGTGTTGCCACATCTGTGATCTTTATAGAAACAGACTGTGCAGCAAGTTTCTGGCTGGTGGATTTGAACCACTACCTTCAACTTGAGTCCAATGCTTAAGCACTGCACCACCCTATACATATCTAAAAAAATCCAACCTCACTGTCAATTCCAACTTATGACAGCTCTCCCTTGGGTTCCTGAGGCCATAAATCTACATGAAAGGAGGATGTCCATCTTTTTTCCATGGAGCAGCTGATGAATTCAAATTACTGACCTTTTGTTAGTAGCCCCGAACACAACAAACTATGCTACCAGAGCTCCTTCTGTTGTTGTTGTTGTTACGTGCCATCAAGTTGTGTATGGCTCATATCAACCCTACCCTGTTCCATAACTATCATCTTTTCTCTAATATTCATAGAGTTTCCAAAGACCTGCTGTTTAAGAAGTGGATGCTAATTCTGTTTCCAAGCATTTTGTAATCTGGGAGCTCTACCAAACGCTGTCCACCATGGGTAACCATTATGGCATTTGACACATCATTGACACATGTTCAGTTTCACAGCAACTCCAAGTTAACTCAGTATAGTAGACTGACAGACAAGTGCTATACCACTTAGAACAATGTTCTCCCCAAACACAGTCAACAGGGGCTGCAGGCCTAAGAGCCCAACTGACTTTTAAACACAAAGGTCCGCCCACCAGGTCCTGATTGACTTAAACAAGAGGCTGAGACAACAAGACTAAATCCAAGTGGCCAAACCGTTTACATATGATTGTTAATAAAACAAAAAAATGACCCAACAGTTTACACCCAACTTCACACATGAGCCTTCCAACTGGAGATTTAGTCAGGGCCCAATTGACGTTTCAACACAAAGGCCTGCCCACAAGGTCCTGATTAACTTAAACAAGAGGGTTAGACAACAAGACTAAATCCTTCTACTGTAGCTAATCTAATAAACAAACCCATCACCATCAAGTCTTTTCCAACTCAGCAACTTGTCATCAGGTTTCTGAGGCTCTACTTACTGCTTCTCACTCACTCACTCACTCCAACTTGTAGCTGACCCTCCAGCATGCTTCTGAGGCTGTATGCCACAACGGCTGGAGACTGCCCAGTTTTCTCCCTTAGAGCTGCTGGTAGACCAGGCTGCCAGAGCACTCCCTACTGCATCTAGAATTTAGTCATTTCTATGTTAAAGAGCCCTGGGACTCAATGCTTAAGCACTCAACTGCTATCTGAATGTCTGGCAGTTTGAATCCACCCAGATGCAGTTACATAGGACTGCTGTGAGTTGGAAATGGACCTTAAACAACAACAAAAAAGTGCTTTATTAGCCTTGTTGTTGTGTACCATCGAGTCAGACCTGACCCATAGCTAATCCTCAGTAGCTTTTCAGGGTCCAATCCTTTTCCCATAGCCTTTGTTAAGAGTAGGCGAGAAGACCAGGACAAGATCTATAAGCCAGTTTGGGGATCTGGAGGAGTCCCATAATCCCCGAGATTTTAATAGGTCTCATGGGGGATATATATTTTTTAGGATTTTTTTTAAATTTTATTCTTTTTGTGTGCGTGTACCGTCAAATCAGATCTGACTGGTACAGGAGGAGATTGCCCCTCCTTCCCCGGCAGAGCATCTGGTGGATTCGAACCGTGCACCTCTGGGATTGTAGTTGCAGCTTCTTGCCACTAGGCCACCAGAGCTCCCCTTAGGATTTTTTTAAAAAACAATGTCTGTTTAAAAAAACACCCCCCCCAAAAAAAACCCCTCAGTGTTTGTACACTGCTATTGTTTCGATGCCTAGAACAATGCTTTGAACATTGTGATTGCTCAATAAACAACTGTTGGCAAATAAATTACCATGAATTTGCAAATATGCCAGATAATTTATCCAAAAACAACCCTGTCATATAAACTGAGTCTGGACCCTCCTGCACTTTTTCCTGATGGGAAAACCTGAGCTGTTGATCTAAAGTCCTCAGTCAGGGAAGAGGAGCAGGTGGGCTTGACCTCTGTGGTATCTAACTGCCACGAAGGTGGTCCCAGAACTTCCTGGGTAACAGTGGACCAGTCCAGAGACAGAGGCTGGAGACAGAGGAGATTCTGGGAGGGCACAAGAGCATGTGAGTGGGCGGGTGGGTACCAGCTCTGCCAGGCTCTAGATGCTCCTCCACCTCGTCAGGCGCATAGTTGCGGATAAAGTCAGCAAAGCAGCCGTTGTGCTTCATCAGAGTTGGATAAGAGCCAGCTTCAGACACCTGTCCATTGTCCAGTACAATAATGAAGTCCATCTGGGGCAGGAAGCTGATTCCATGTGTCACCAGCACTCGAGTCTGGGGAGAAGGCAACAGCAGTCCCTCATTCCCTTGGCACTGTCCCCCACGACAGGTACAGGGTTTGGAATGTGAACACAAGCCCATGTGTTCGGGGCATGGACAGGTATACCTGGGCCTCACCCTGCACTTGCTGCCATTTGCTCAGAACCTCTGCACCCGGCTCCCCTTCTAACGGTGGCCCCTGTGACCCACCTCACTCCTGTTTCTCTAGGTTTTCCACACCTCCAATCCCTCAAATCACTTTGCCTCTCCCCAGCTCTCTCCCAGGGCCCCCAGTGGGCTCACCTTGTGGGCCAGCACACCTTCTGGCCCGATGACGTGGTCGAAGATATGCTTGGCTACATGGGAGTCCACCGCTGACAAGGGGTCATCCAGCAAAAAAATGTCCGCATCACTGTACACAGCTCGGGCCAGGCTGATGCGCTGCCGCTGGCCCCCAGACAGGTTGATACCCTGAAGGGAGAAAGAGTGGGTGCTGGGTGGCAGGGAACCCAGATGCTGACCACTGACATCAAGCAAGGCAGACCTCTGAATCACATGCCTTATCCTGATCCAGTCCCCTTGAAGCACCCTTGGGGGTGGCTCTGAGTCCTCCGGGCAAACGAGGACAGCTTCCCCCTCCACTCCCCCACCCTGCCCGGCTGGCTTCCCTGCCTGCTACCTTCATACTCTGGGAGGCTGGAAAGCCCCAGGAGGCTGTTAATAGGCCTATTAATCTCCCATCGCCCATACAGTTTGCAAACGCTTTCATAACAATTATCCCATTTGGTGCTCACATCAGTCCTTCCAGTGAGGTATCATTAGACTCACTTTCTAGATGAAGAAATTAAAGCCCAACATGTTAATAGCTTTGTCCAAGATGCAGGGCTATTAAGGGAAGGAGCGAGGACAGGCACCCTGGTCTGATGACTCCAGCAATAGCTTCAGAAATCATCAGCCCTCAGATTGTTCAGTTGCCAAACGTTAAACTGCATTGGACAGATCTGCTGCCCTCTTTAAGGTGCTATGGAGTAAGGATGTCAGTTTAATGATTAAGGTGCACCTGACCCAAGCCAGGTTGTTTTCAGTTGCTTCATATGCATGAGACACTTAGACAAGGAATAAAGAAGATCAAAGAAGAACTGATGTCTTTGAACGACGGGGTTGGTGAGGAGTTCTGAATATCTCAGGGACTGCCAACAGAACAAACATATCTGTCTTAGATGAAGTGAAGCCAGGGTGCTCCTTACAGGCAAGCACAGTGACATTGTGTCTCATATGCTTTGGGCACAGGAGGGACTAGTCCCTGTAATACGGAGGTCTGATAGCCTAGTTGTATGGAGCTATATTGCCAACCCATAGTTTGAATGCACCAGCTGCTTCATGGGAGAAAAATGGGCAATCCCCTCCCATGTGACTAATTGCTTCTTAAAACCCACTGGAGGATCAATTATGAGTTGGATCTGATTCCACAGTACATAACAACAACCATCCAAAAGTAGGGAGCTCTGGTAGCCTAGTGCAGACAGGCCTAATTGAAGCAGGTGGTTTGAATCCACCAGATGTTCCCCAGGAGAAAGATGGGCATTCTCTTCCTGTGCAATTCAAAGCCTCTGAAAACCTGCTGGAGGATCAGTTATGAGTGAGTGAGTGAGTCCTTGGGGTAGGACATGAGGCTTGGAAAAGTAGAAGAGGGAGAAGAAAATCCTCAACAAGATAAATTGACATAGTGAATCCAACAATGGCCTTAATTGTGTGGATGGTGCATGACCAGGCAGGCTTTTGATGGGTTGTACATGGAGTAGCTGTGAGTCCAGGTCAATGTGATGGCATCTAACAACAAAGGCTAAAATCATGTGGGGAATCTGAGGAAGGTGAGGGAGGGCAGAGGACAGACTGTAAGAGGGAAAGTCTGCTTCTCTGTCACCAGCTACACTCATTCCTCATGGGAGACCCAGCTGTATAGCGTGCTCTGAGAAACTGACCCGGGGGAAAGCTGGTGCAGCGGGGGTTGGAGTTCCTGGGAAGCAGTTGAGGGTCCTGCCTGCACCTCCGGTGACTGAGCTATGTGTGTCTCCTCGCTCATACATTGCCTCCACACTTTGCGGAGTGCCTTCTCCAAGCTGGTGGTGGTGTGCCAGCAAGTTGAATCCGACTCATAGTGACCACATGTGATGGAGCAGAACTGCCTCATACAGTTTTCTCTACTCTATTCTTCACAGCAGCATTCCCAGGTCTTTGTCCTGAGGAACCACTGGGAATTAGAACCTTCAATCTTATGTTTAGCAACTGAGCAACCATCATGCCACCAAAAGTCCTTTGGCTATTATGTTCTGGACACTCAATTATGATTACTTTTGAAATGCATTGTGTTTGGAGTGAAATGTTATAAATTCTATTGAGTCTTTATTCAGTCATTCATATACATTTTGTTTTATAATATCAGTTAAATTAATGCAATTCATTATTGCTATGGCTATGTTTGGTTGACTCATAGAGTTAACCCTCCAGTAGGTTTTCAGAGGCTGTAAATCTCGTGGGAGGAGTTAGTTCATTTCTCTCCCACAGAGCGGCTAGTGGACTCCAACCAAGTATAACACAGTTGGTTTAACAGCCCAACTCCTTACCACGATGCCACCAAAGCTCCCTTATAATTAATTAAGAGACTCATATTATTCCAATCACCACCTGGTACAGAGAAGAAAGCAGAGGCTCCAGAAGAAAGGTAATATACCAGGACTGGTACTAGAAGTCAGACTCAATGATGCTGGTCACTAAACAAAGGGGGGGGAAGCCTGTGCACTGTCTGAGGATAGATTTCAGACCAATATGTTTACTCTTGCAGAATGTGGCCCACACACTAAAAAGCCACACTGGACACATTGCTCTCAACTCCAATTCATGGTCAATCAACCCATGTATTACAGATTAGAACTCCTCCAAGTATTTGCTTGGCTGTAATCTTTGTAGAAGCAGATCACAGCCCTTTCTTTCATGGAGATACTACCTGGGTTTGAACCTTTAGATTGCTGAGGATAGATTTCAGACCAATATGTTTACTCTTGCAGAATGTGGCCCACACAGTAAAAAGCCACACTGGACACATTGCTCTCAATTCCAATTCATGGTCAATCAACCCATGTATTACAGATTAGAACTCCTCCAAGTATTTGCTTGGCTGTAATCTTTGTAGAAGCAGATCACAGCCCTTTCTTTCATGGAGATACTACCTGGGTTTGAACCTTTAGATTGGAGAGCAAAGCACTTGCACCCTGAGGACCCCAGATCTGGCATACCCCTGGGTCAACTTTAACCTGGAGGATGGAGACATAATCTTTACATTTGTAACCTCTGTGGAAGCTGGTTGTGTCAGTTTTCTCTTGTAGAACACCTGGTGGGTTTGAACCTCCAACCTTTTGTTTAGCAGCCTTAGCTATGGATGGTGCTGCCAGAATACTTGTCTGGCTATTGTTATTATTGTTAGGGGCCATCAAATTGAGCATGACTCACAGCAACCTTATGAAAAATAGATCAAAACCTTGCTCCATCCTGATATGATCTGTCATGCTCGAGTCAAGTATTGCAGTAACTAAATGAACCCATCTCGTTCAGGGTCTTCCTCTCTTTCACTGAGCCTCTACTTTTCCCAGGATGATGTCTTCTTCCAAGGACTGGCGCCTCCTGACAGAATGCCCAACGTATGTGAGATGGCGTTTCACCATCTGTGCTCCTAAGGAGCAGCCTGCTTTTATTTTCTCTGGGACAAATTTGTTTTTTGGCATTCCATGAGAGAGTCTATACTCTTCACCAACACTAAAGGTATCCATTTTTTTGCGCCTCCTTATTCATTGCCCAGCTATCACATGCACAGGAAGCAACTGAAGATCCCAAGGGTTGAGTCAGATGCACCTTAGTCTTTAAACTGACATCCTTGTTCTTTAGCACTTTAAAGAAGTCCTTAATAACAGACTTGCCCAATGTGTCTTTTGATTTCTTGACTGCTATTATTGTGGGTGGTGACTGTAGATTCAAGTAAAATAAAATACTTCAATATTTTCTCAACTTCAATTCTTTCTCTATCTTGATGCTGTCTATTGGTCCAGTGGTGAAGAGTTTTGTTTTCTTGATGTTGAGATGCAATCCATATTGAAGACAGTAGTCTTTGATCTTCCTCAGTGAGGGTTTTAAGTCCTCTTCACTTCCTTCAGGTGAGATTATGTCATCTGCATAATATGAACTGCATCCAATCCTGATGTCACATTCTTCTTCATAGAGTCCAGCTTCTTGAATTATTTTCTCAGCATACAGATTGACTGGGTATGGTGAAAGGATACAGAACTGACACACATCTTGTTGTTTTTGTTGTTATGTGCCGTCGAGTCACCTGCGACTCATAGCGACCCTATGTACAACAGCCCTAAACTCCACTCTGTCCTGTGCCAATCGCACTGTCTCTGACACTCGCATCCCAATTATCCCAGTTACTGAATCAATCCACCTCATAGAGGGCCTTCCTCTCCTGCACTGTCTCTCCACCCTCCCAAGCATGATGTCCCTCTCTAAGGACCGGTCTCTCCTCACAACATGTCCAAAGTATGCTAGACGGAGCCTCAGAATCCTTGCCTCCAAGGAGCCACCCGGTTTAACCCTTTCCAGGACAAATCTGTTTGTTTTCCTGCAGTGTCTCCTTAACAGTTCTATTTGAACAACTACTTCCTGATCTATGCACAGGTTTCTAAGGAGCATAATAAAAAGTTCTAGAATTGCCATTCTTCTCAATGATATTAATAATTTATTATGATCCACATAAGTGAATGTATTTGCATAGTCAGTAAAACCCAGGTGAATATCTTTCTGGGATTGTCTGCTTTTAGTCAAAATCCATCCAACTTTAGCAATATTTCTCATTCCTTGGCCTCATCTGAGTCCAGCTTGAATTTCTGACAGTTTTCAGTCAGTGTACCGTTAAAGATAGTTTCTAATAATCTTATGCAAGATTTTACTTGTGTGTGTTACTAATAATATCGTTTGTTAATTCTCACATTCTGTTGGGTCACCTTTTTTTGGTATGGAAACAAATATTGATCTCTTCCAGTTAGTTGGGCAGATAGCTTGGCCAAATTTCTTGGCATAAACTAGTGACCACGTCTAGGGCTGAGTCTGTTTGCTGAAACTCTTGTTAGTATTCTACCAAGTCTTGGGGCCTTCTTTGTTGACAATGCCTTCAGGGAAATTGGACTTCTTTCTTTAGCACCACCAGTTCTTGATCATATGCTACTTCTTGAAATGGTTCAGCATCAATCAGTTGGTACAGAGACTAGGTAACCTTTCCATTTCTTTTGATGCTTCATACATCATTCAATATTTTGCTCATAAAATCCTTAGATATTGCAACTCAAGGTTTGAATTTATTCTTGGGTTCTTTCGGGTTGAGAAATGCTTTGTGTGTGCTTTGTGTTTGGTTTTCTAACTCCAGGTCTCTGTACATTTTGTTATGATACTTTGTTTTGTCTTCTTGAGCTGCCCTTTGCAATCTTCTGTTCAGCTAGCTCTCTTATGCTATCATTTCTTTCTTTTGCTTTGGCTTCTATATGTTGAAAAAGACATTTCAGAGTCTCTTCTCATATCCATTCCCCCCCCCTTTTCTTTCTTTCTTGTATTTTTAATGTCCTTTTGTTTTCTTTATGGATATCCTTGATGTCATCTCACAACTCATCTGATCTTCAGTCATTTATGTTTAATACATCAAGTCTTTTCTTGGGAGGTTTTTTAGGATACACTCAAGGTCATATTTTGGCTCTTGTGGACTTGTTTTAATTTTAACTTGCATATGAGTAATTGATGATCTGTTTCAAAGTCAGCCCCTGGCCTTCTTTTGACTGCTGATTCTGAGCTTCTCTCCAACATCTTCCACAGAGGTAATCAATTTGACTCCTGTATATTCCTGCAGGTGAGGTCCATGTGCATAGTGTCCCTTTCTGTTTTGTTTTTTTTTTAATATTTGCAACGAATAAATGATGTTGGATAGCACACAATTTTATCCCTTGATCTCCAGTCTCATTTTTGTCACCAAGGCCGTATTTTCTGACTACCAGTCCTTCTTCTTTGTTTCCAGCTTTTGTATTATGTTGTTGTGTACCGTTGAGTCAGAACTGATCCATAGCTGACCCTCAGTGGGTTTTCAGAGGCAGCTAATCGCATGGGAGGAGATTGGTCATCTTTCTCCTCTGTTTTGCATTATAGTCACCAATTATTAGAAACGCATCTTGACTGCATGTTTGATCAATTTCAGACAGCCAAAGTTGGTAGAAGTCCTTCATTTCTTTATCTTTGGCTTGAGTGGTTGGTGCATACATTTGAATAATAGTTGTATGAACAGGTCTTCCTTGTATACATCTGGATATTATCCTATTGCTAATAGCACTGCACTTAGAATAGATTTACAATGTTCTTTTTTTACTATGAAAGCAACAGTATTCCTCTTCAACTTGTTGATCCTGGCAGAATAGATAATATGAATCAAAATGGCCAATACTGAACCATCTCAGCTCACTAATCCCTACAATGTCAATCTTTACATGTTCTATTTAGTTTTTTTAAACCTCCAACTTCCCTAGGTCCACGCTTCGTACCTGCCAGGTTCCAGTTATCAGTGGGTGTTTGCAGCTCTTTTTCCTCATCTTGAGTCTTGCCGCATGAGCCAAGGCAGGCTCTTTATTGGTGAAAGCTTCACTCCATCTGTGTTATTAAGATAGACTCTGCTTTCAGGAGGCAGCTCTTCCCTGTCTTATTTTGAGTGCCTTCCAGCCCAAGGGGCTCATCTTTTGGCCTCTTCCAGAACAACAATCTGATGTTATTCTTGGGGGTTTCCAGGGCACATTATTTCAGCAGTGGACAATCACTCCCGCCTCATATTCTATCTTAGTCTGGAAACTCCACTGAAACCTGTTCACCATGAGGGACCCTGCTGGTATTTGAAACATCAACGGCATAATTCCAGCATCACAGCAACATGCAAGTCACTACAGTATGACAAACTGACAGATGAGTAGACTATCTGTAGTAGACATTAATAGAGCATTAATGAATGAGTGGATTATTTGCTATGGGCTTTCTAGCCATGGCATGTGACTTTCAGCCCAAGCAGCATTATGCACACACCAGAGCTTTTGTGATCCTCTGAGGTGATTAGATAGCTTTATGTTAATATAATAAGGTAAATAGTACCTTTTGAGTGGGGATATGCAAATTAGATGTGTAGAATGCTAACATGTGGATTGGTCAGTTTTGCCATCTCTCCAGGCTTAAACTGAGCAGGTTCAGAGGCGGAAGAGGGGACCTTCACTACCATCAAGAAAGAAGAAGCAGAGAATGCAGCATGTCCTTTGGGCCAGAGATTCCTGCACAAACCAGAGACAAAGAGACAGAGTGAGGCTGAGAGAGAGCTGTGGCAGTGGCAATGGCAGTGACAATGGTGACAGCAGCAGAGGCAGCAGAGAATCAGAGTCTGGTGTGAGCTAGCTGAGCTAGGCAGGCCCAGCCGTGGAGTTAGAGCCGAGAGCCCTCAGGCCTCATTACTGGTAGAGTGGAGGGTGGCACACAAAAGGTTATGTAACACTTGCCCCAGTCGGGAAGAACCTATTGCTGAGAAGCAGAGGGTGAGAGAGAGAACTGCCTAACAGCAGAACTGAGAAAAAGCTGTCATGACCCAATGTCTGACCTCGTAAAATCAGCTTTGTATGTTGCTGTTATTGATGGGGATCCTTCCCCCTTGTTTCTTCCCAGTTTCTGCCGCTCTCATGCCTGCTGCACTGTTTTCCCAAAGAGCAAATGGATGATGAGCTCTCTGGGTTAAAGTTCACTTAAGGAACGATGCTTTTCCTTACTCAGACTCCCTGTGGGTGTCCTCCCTGGCTCCTGCCCAGAGCTCTCCACAGCCCCTGCTTATCCACAAGCCAGTGTCCTCAGCAATGGATCTCTCTTCTGGTGGCAGACACTGAGCTGGGCAGGATGTTGCCTGAATGTATGCGTACATTAATGAACGGATGATGAATGAATGTACGTATACATGTCTCCCAGCAGATGGGAGGGGACTTTGTTACCTTCTCTCCAATCTCTGTCTGGTCCCCACCAGGAAGCACCTCCAGGTCAGTTAGCAGGGCACAGGCCTCCAGGGCCTTTTGGTAGCGCTTGGGGTCTAGGGTTCTGCCAAACAGCACGTTTTCTTGAAGAGTGGCATTCTGGATCCACGCCTGCTGGGGTACGTAAGCCACGGAGCCCTGGTGGAGGAAGAAGGTTGTGTTGGGGCTTCCTCAAGGCCTAGCCAAGCCCCATGCCCTTCCCTAGAGGCTCTGTCCCTCTCACCTTCACATACACCTTGCCTTCCAGCTTTTCCATCTCTCCAAGCAGGGCAGACACGAGGGAGGACTTCCCACAGCCTACAGGTCCCACCACGGCCACCAGTGCCCCTTTTGGCACCTGGATGTCTAGGCTGAGGATGAGGAAACCAGAAGCCAGTCAGTGGGAGCATCTAGACGACAGAGTTTTGGTCCCTAGCTCTCCACGTGGAGACCTAAGCCTCCCCACCCCAGTCACCATCCTGGCAAGCTGAGGCTTTACCTGCAAAGGTGGGGTTTTCTATTGATGTGACCCCAGGCCCACCTTACGTAGCTGTGAGGGGCTGGGCGAAGATGGTACCTGTGCAGGACAGGAGGCAGATCCTGGGCCCAGGTGAAGGTGCCACTGTTTACGGTGATGGCATAGCCTGGGAGAATCAAGGTATATAAACACATAGGGTCAGAGAGGCCTGGGGTACAGGGGCTGGAGGGGTGAAGCAAGGAGCCTGGACAAAGAGGGAGAGGTTAGGGAAGTGTGGAGGTGGAGGAGTGGAGGGGCAGGAAGCCTGGGAACAAAGACAGAGAAGAACAGAGCCCAGGAAAGGAAGAGGGAACTGAGTTAAAGCAGAAGTGAAAAGATAAAGAGGAAACAACAGAATCCCATGAGAAAAACTAAGAAGCTCGGAACAGAAGACTTGCAGGAACAAGGGCTGGGGGGAAGGCAGCTGAGGTCGAGGCTTTGCAGACCTGGGGAGATGACCTTTCTTTCCACACAGTCAGGGTCAAGTTCATCTTGGCTCAGGAAATGCTGGATCCGTTTCAGAGACACGCTGGTCTGAAGGATGGTATGAGTCAGCTCCGAGGAAGCCCTTTCCCCACCTTTTCACCCCTTACTCCTGCTGGCCCCCAACTTCCTAACCTAGGTAAAGGCCTCTGAGGGCTCCTCAGACAAGAGAATTTTCTGGGGTTCCCATTGTCCCAAAACAAGGGCAGATTGATGAGTTTACATTTCCAAAGACCTGACTTGACCTTGTATCCTTGGCCCTCATGACCTCATTCAGCCCTGAATACTTAACCTTTCCATAAGCCTAAATGATCCTTCCCTGATTTCACAGAGCCTGCCTTATCCTGGCCCTAAGTGGCCCTGCCCTGCCCCCGCCAACCTGCCCTAACCCCAGCAGATCCTAGCTCCACTCCGTGTTACCTGGACCATGTTGCTGATGAGCTGGGGCAGCATATTGAGGGGTAACTTTAAGATATTGAACAAGGTCAAGGACACAAAGGCTTTCTCAGCATCGAGCACGTTGTTCTTGTCCACTAACACATACACTCCGAGGGTTATCAGGGTCACCTGGGCAGTGGCGGGCAACAGGGTGTCAAGGCTGCTTCCCCTGAAGTCAGACCCACAGGCCCAGGGGTCCGGGTTAGCCCAGCAAGAGGCAGGAGGCAAGCCATGGGGGGAGGATGTTCGTCCTCACCAGGAAAGGGGTGCAGATCAAGATGAAGACTGACACGGCGTGCAGGAAGGTGGCCTTCCGCAGGAGCCGAAGCTCATTCTTCCTGATGTTCTCCACCTGCTTCAGGAAGCTGGGCTCCCAGGCATACAGCTTCAGCACCTTGATGCCGCCCAGGATCTCGCTCATCAACTTGATTCGAGAGTCCTTGAGCTTCATTTGCTCCACCTGCATGGGGAGAAGGCATGGCCATGGCACGTCCTGGTCCCTCAGACCTCAGACCTGTTCACACATTCTGACCAGTCCAGTCTGCCCACCACGCTCCACACTCTTCCCTGCCTACTCCTGACCTCTGCCTGGAAAGCCCCATCCCCACTGTCTCACAAGATCAGCTCCAACCTCAAAGCCATGACCCTCCCAGGCGGTGTGTCCTGGGTCCACCTCCCTGGGTTTCTAGAACATAAAGAACTTTCCTTTTGTTCTGTTAACACTTTCACATTTCCCCCTAAGACGGTGTGCTTCCAGGCGGCACAGTTCCAATTCCTCTTTGTTCCTCAGACCCTAACCCGGAAGCCTTCTATCACTTGTTCCAGTGTCAGCTCCAACCCCTGGTGACTCCGTGCTTGTCAGGGTGGAACCACACACTCCCCATGGGAGTTTCAGGGGCTGATTCTGCAGCAGGAGATCACCAGGCCTTTCTTCTGAGGAACCTGTGGATGGACTTGAACCTCCATACTCTCAGTGAGTAGCTTAGCATGTCAACCACTGGCATGTACACTCCCCTGCTCAGAGACTCCCAGAGCCCCGTGCCCCAAGTTAACGTATCCATTCCACCTTCAGGTATCGAAGGCCTCCTACGTGCTGGGCCCTGTGCTGGATGTGAGAAATAGAATAACAAACAACTCAGACAAGGTCTCAGCCACTATGAAGTTGGCAGTGTGACGGAGGAAGGGAGACAGACATTAAGCAAATAATTACCTGAGTACATGCCTAATTATAAGTGATTATGTTCATTCGGGAGAGAAATAACAGGGTGTTGTGAGCGAATAATGGAATGGAGGCTGGGAAAGATCTGAGCAGCAGGGTGGGTCTCTTGAGGGAATAACATCTGTGCTGAGAGGTGAGGGATGGATGAAGTGAGACAGATGACGGTGAAGGGCATTCCTGGCAGAGGGAACAGAGGGTGGGGTGGCTCAGAGGCAGGAGGAGCTTAGTGCTTTGAAGAAAAGAACAGTTGCACTGCAGTCCCAAAGGTTCCCGGTTAGAATCCACCAGATGCTCTGCTAAGAAGGGGCAGTCTCCTTCTGTGCCTGTCATATCAGACTCTGGTACACACACATACATACACATACACCCCACCCCCAAAAAAACCACAAATAAATAAAATAAAAAATTAAAAAAAAAAAGAAAAGAACAGCTGAATTGGCTGAAACCTGACCGTACCCCACAGGAAGATGTTGTTATGTGCCTTGGAGTTAGAACCACACACCTCACTCTCCAGCAGGTCTTCAGAGGCAATGAATCACACAGGAGGACATTCAAACTGCCTTTGGGTTAGCAGTGCAACTCTTTATCACTAAGCCACCAGAGCTCCCTACTCTGTAAGGTGAGGGCTTCAAAAGTGTGTAGATAGATGCCTGGAGAGTGGTCCTAGAGAGCTTGCCATTTTTTTAAATTGTCATTTTATTCCATGTACAATGGGGAGCTACTGATGTTTTAAGATCAGCGTTGCAAATAAAAACCAGAATAGCTGGCTATTTCTGCTCAGCACAGTGTGATGCAGAAAGTTCTCATTAGAGCAGAGGATGCAGGTTCAAGGTGCATCTCCGCCTGGTTCTGGAGTGCCATATTCTCTCTCGGCCTTGGCTCATTCCCCAGCTGCAAAGGAGAACAGTTCCAGGACCCCCAGGCTTGTTGTAAGGGTAGGATGAGCTAAGGCTGAGGGGGTGCCCGGTGGTCATCTTTACTCAGTAAGGAAGCTAATCAAAATGACCCCCGGTTAAGTGAATGCACCTCCTGCCCTCCCCCCGCACCTGGCCAACTGTACCTTAGATGACTTTTACCTGGAAGGCCCGCATTTTCATGGCCACAGCTCCATTAAATGGAATCAGTAAGACCAATAGACCAACGCCAGCCAGGACGGAGGGACCCAGGTTCTGAGGAAGCACAGGTTGATGGATAAGACAGACAGACAACCAAAGTCTGGAGTCATATTTACCATAGGGGGAGCTCCGTTGATCTGACATGTAGAGACGGGAGGGAAGCCAAAGACAGCGGCTAGCCACACAGTGAAAGGTAGGCTTGAAGGGAACGCTAGACTGACCAAAACTTTTGCAGAAACAGCCAGTCCATCAGATAATGGCAACAGATAAGGACACCCCAGGCAGACAGAAAAGATGTCCAATCACACGGGAAGGCAACTAAAGACAGACAGGCAGACAGGCAGGCAGGCAGATAGTGACAGCCAGAGCCGCACGCACCGTGCCTTCAAGCCCCTCTTTCCTTTCCCGGGTTTTGTAAGGATGAAGATGGTTCACGTTGCATAGACTCAGTTGCAGACAGCATCATCCTTCAAGCCCTGTTTACCCACCGAGGCTAGAGAAACCCTCGTGCCCATTATGCATCCATCCTCCGCGCTCCTCATCCCTTCTGCAGCCAAGTCAAGTGGAAAAAAAAAGCAGAGGTCAGGGTTCAAGAGTCACCTGCCAGAGGAAGTAGATGGCCAGGATGATCTGCAGGGGTGCTGACCATAACAGGTTGAGGAAGGGGGCAACGTCCATGAAGCGCTGGGCATCCACTGACATAAGGTTGACAATTTCTCCCACTGTGGACTCACGCTTAACTGAATTGGTGATGACCAGAGCCTGCAGGGAGACAGCAAGGTGATGGGCAAGGCCCGTGAGCCTTTCCCAACTTCCAGGACCCGTGGCCTCTGCTGCAGCTGACCTTCTTATAGATGACACCTATGATCGCTGTCCGCAGCCTCAGCGCCCCCACGAAGATGTTGTAGTAATGCTGGTTCAGGACCACAGTCTGCATCATGTCACACACAAACATCAGCCCTGCCACCAGGAAGCCCCACCAGCTGGGAGCTGAGGGGTTTGAAATAAACTTGATCAAAATGCTGCAAAGGAACAGAAGGATGAGGGTGAGGCGAGCTCCCTAGAGATTCACTCTCCCCTTTCACTCTCAGCCTCCACTGTGCCCTTAATACCCACTGACCAGGCTAGGGGCTGCCCAGTGCTGTCTCGAGACCACAACCCCTCCATCCCAGTTCCCTTCAGCTCTGATTCCTTCTCTCTCCATTGTGAACCCTGTCACCCACTCACTACTCTCATTACTCCCGTCTACCAGCCTCGCCTGCCTTTCCTGCCTTCTGGAGACACATGTAGGAAGAAACGACATGGGTCCCTTTATGTGAATTTGCCATGCTTTCTCCTGGATTGCTGAAGGCCCTAGAGACTGTGGCATGACTACATAGATGCTCACCCCTCAACCCATCCTCTCCTTCATTAACATCCCCGGTGCTGCATGGTGACTTCCCCCAGGAACCTGTTCTCTTATCTCTTCTCCCACAGAGGCCAGTCCCCACTCTGCTCTCAATAGCTGATGTCTTCTCCCTTAATCAACCACCTACTAAGAGATCCCACCAGCCACAAACATCTCTCCAAGCTCACTTTTCTTCTTTCCTTTCACTCAGTTGTTGTTATGTGCCATTGAGTCGCTTGCACCTCATGGTGACCCTATGTCCAAGAGCCCTAACCCTACTCTATCCTGTGTCAACCTCATTGTCTCCGACACACCTACTCCCACTACCCCAGTCAATGAATTGATCATCGAGGGTTTTCCTCTCCTGCACTGTCCCTCCATCCTCCCAAGCATGATGTCCCTCTCCAAGGACTGGTCCCTCTTTGCAACATGCTCAGAGTATGTCAGACGAAGCTTCAGAATCCTTGCCTCCAAGGAGCATTCCAGCTTCACTTCCAGGGCAAACCTGTTTGTTCTCCTAGCAGTCCATGGTATATTCAACAGTCTTCTCCAGCATCCCAGCTCAAAGGCATCAATTCTCTATCATCCCTAGTCACTGTCTAGCTCTCCGATGCATAGCACACAATTGCAAAGACCCAGATCAGGTGCACCTTTCTTGGCTGCTGGCACCAAGAGCGCTAACTGTGGAGCCAAACAAACTAAAACGTTAACTATCTCAATCTCTTTACCATCCATACTGATGCTGCCAATTGGCCCAGTGGTGAGAATCTTTGTTTTCTTGAGGTTGAGCTTCAATCCATATTGAAGGCTGTGGTCCTTGATCTTTTGAAGCAAGTGCTTCAGATTCTCCTCAGTTTCAGTAAACAAGGTTGTGTCATCCGAATAATGCAGGTTATTGATGACTCTTCCACCAATCCTGATGCCACATTCCTCCTCGTACAGCCTAGCGCCCTGGATGATCTGATCTGCAGACAGATTGAAAAGGTATGGAGAGAGAATACATCCCTGGAGGACACCCTTCCTGATTTTGAACCATCCAGCATCTCCTTGCTCTGTTCTAACGACTGCCTCTTGATCCAAGTATAGGTTTCTTAAAAGCACAATCAAATGTTCTAGGATTTCCGTTCTTCCCAGAGTCAGCCACAGCTTGCTGTGATCCACACACTCTAAAGCCTTTGCATAGCCAATGAAACACAGACATTCTTCTGGTTCTCTCTGCTTTCTGCCAAGATCCATCTAAGAGTAGCTACACTATCCCTAGTACCACGACCTCTTCTAAACCCAGACTGCACATCTAGCAGTTCTCTGTTGAGGTGTTGCTTTAGTCATTTTTGCATGATTTTCAGCAGAATCTTGCTAGCATGTGATATTGATACTGTTCGATAATTTCCACACTCTGTCGGGTCATCTTTCTTTGGAATGGGAACAAATATTGATTTCTTCTAGTCAGTTGGCCAGGTGGCTGTCCTCCATATTTCTTGGCACAACTTAGTGAGCACATCCAGGGCAGCATCTGTTGAAATATGTCGATTGGTATGCCATCAACTCCTGGAGTCTTGTTTTTTACTAATTCTTTCAGAGCAACTTGAACTTTCGAAAGCAGGTTGAGGAGAGTGCAATACAATTTTGTATAAAGTTAAATGAGAAGCAACCCACTTGAGAATTACAAAGATTAAGAGCATGACTTTCCTCCTTCAACACCACAGGCTCTTGCTCATGGACAAGATACTTCTGACTTTCCCAATCTGAGCCCACTTCTGAGCCCTGGATCCCACCTCCCTTCTCAGGAGCATGCTCCCTCTTGGGCCCTTTTCCTCCTGCTTTTTAATATCTTCACCCCCATTGGCCACTCTGTGCCATCACCTATTGGCATGACCAAGCCTCTTCCAGATTAAGAGCACGCTCTCCTTAATTCCACTAAGCCTTTCAGTCATAGTCATACCCAGGCTGACCTTCTGTTGTGAGTGACAAGGCATCTTGCATAAAGGTATGTTCAAAAGAAGAGAAAAAAAAGTCATCCTCAACAAGATGGATTAATACAGTGAGTATAACAATGGGTTTGAGGGAGCTCTGGTGGCCTAGTGGCAAGACGCTGCACTGCAATCCCAGAGGTACGCGGTTCAAATCCACCAGATGCTCTCCTGGAGAAGGAGGGACAATCTCCTCCTGTACCAGTCAGATCTGATTTGACGGTACACGTAAAAATAATACAATAAAAAAATTTTAAAAAAACAATGGGTTTGGACATGTCAGAGGTCATGAAGATGGCACAGGGTAGAGCTAAATTCAGATCTGTTGTTCAGAGGGTTGCTATGCGTTGTAGTCGGCTTGATGGCACCTAGTAACAACAGTACCAGTGACGAGTTAAGTTGTCAATGACTACCAAAGACTGAAGTTGTTAACAACTTCATTACATTTGGATCCACAATCACCACTCATAGCAATAGTAGTCAAGGAACCAAGAGATGTGTTGTACTGGGAAAAAATCTGCTGTCAAGGACTTCTCTAAAGAACTCTTCTCTAAAGAGCAAGGATGTCAGTTTAAAACTAAGTTGTGCCTGATTCAAGCCATGCTCTTTCCAATTGTTGCCTATGCATCTGAAAGTTGGACCACAGATAAGGACAGAAGAAACAAACAAAAAGGTAGGTCAAAGATACACAGAAACAATCAGTCCAAAGGATCACTTGAACTCTGAGGCGAGAAGAACTGGACAGTGCCTGGTTATAACTGCAAACTGCTCTTAAAGGGATCCTGGTACAGAGGCCTGAAGAGAGTGGGTGGGAACTGTGGACCAAAATGTCAAAGCATTAAAATGATCATGTTGAATCTCCCAAACGGTGGCCCTTGGTAGGGCTTTGTGTCTGGAACTGAACTCACTCTGAGGCTCAACTTTTCAGCCGAACAGTCAACAAGCTTATGAAGTAAACACGGGAGGTGCTCATACCTTAGGACAATCAATAGTACAGAATCAAAGGGGTAAAGTTCAGAAGGCAGGAAGGGACAGGACAGAAGGATGAATGGCAACTAGAGTCACAGGGAGGGAGATGGCACTTAATGTCACAAAACAAACCCTGCACGGATGGTTGAATGGAAAGTCAATTTTCTATATAATGTCTCGCTCAAAGCACAATAAAATTTTGATTTTGTTTGGTTTTCTAAAGGTACGTTCACTAAGGTACAAACGGGGGTGAGGGGGAAGGTATGTTCAATTCCTAATCTCTGGTACCTGTGAGTGTGGCCTTATTTAGAAAACGGTCTTTGAAGATATAATCAAGGTAAAATCACGTTATACCGGACTAGGATGAGTCAGTCCTTTATGTCTGGTTTCCTTAGAAGAGACAGGGAGATTTACACACACACACACACACACACACACACACACACACACACACACACACCCCTTGCACTCAGGCCATGTGAAGATGAAGGTAGAGATCCAGGTGTTGCGTCCAAGGAATGTGAGTAACTCTGGGGGTGTAGACGTTAGGATGTTGCACTTTGTATTAAACTAAAAGTCAAGTGTCTCTTGAGGTTAAGATTTCTAGCCTCAGAAAATTGAGGGACATTTGCCATGAATTGAAATCACTTGAACAGCAGTGAGGCTTTTCTTCCCACCCCCCCACCCCCCTTCTTTTACTAGAAGCTGGAAAGGAGCCAATACCTTGAATTTTGGACTTCTGATCTCCAGAAACAAGTCTTTGTTTTAACCTCCCTGGTAATTTGCTGCAGCAGCTCTAGGAAACGAGTATACGCCCTTTTACAGCAAAATTCTAGAGGGCTGCCCTTCCCCCTCCATCTCTACTGCAGACCCTTGCTCTCTGCCAAGGCCTCTGCTCTAGATGAACCACTGACAACTGGGGCCAAAGGGACCAGCCAGACCTTTCTACTGGTGGCCACACCTTCCCCTGGGAAGCTAGCTCTCCTTCTGATCCATGTTCCCAGGACCCAGGACCCATCAGATATGACCTTATAAACCTATTAGAAACCCCTACGGTTCTATCTGGAGCTATCCCTAGGGCTGTCTGGGTCCCCTCCCCCTGAGGCTTTGTCTGAGTCCTGTCTCCTCTAGGGCTCTATCTAGGCCCTCTCTCCCTAGGGCTCTGTATGAGTCCTCTCCTCCAAGGGTTCTATCTGAGCTCTCTCCCCCAGGGCTCTATCTGGGCCCTCTCCCTCAGCATGTGCTCTCTGGAATGACTCTGCAAATACAGTCTCTGGCCCTCTTGGCTGAATCTCCCCTTGGATGATCCACAGCCCCTCCTGTTTAACATGACCAAGAATAGCCTCACCAAGAGGCTTGGAGAATCCCGTTAGTTGTCAGTTAATCATCAAATCAAAAGACTCTTCATCCTTCGGCCACTCAAACGACCCTTCCCCCTGCCTCCCACAGGCCCATCCCTTTTATATCTTTCCTGAACTTGGCTTTCTCAGACCTGCCTGGCTCACTTGCACCCTGCCTACCTGCCCCATGTTCTCCTGCACTGCTGACGGGGAAATCCTTCTGGAATACAAAGCAGACATTCCACATTCCCCACCCTGGCTTAAAATCCTCCAACAATATTCTAAACTGTCTCTCTTCCTGTGTTTACACTTTCCGCTGCGTGCTCTTTCCTCCTGCATTGAGAAATACCTGGAGTCCCTGAGTCATGCTGTTTCAGCTTCCATAGCTGCTCTTTCACCTCGTTTTTGCCTGGTGAGGACCCACATACCCTCTCTATCCCAGCAGTCCTTACCTGTTCCTCCTGGGGTTTTCCAGGAATCTGATTACACCTCTGAGCACACTATAATTGAGTAACACATTGGTCTCTCTCATAAGATGTGGTGTCTAGGCTTTCTTTATCTCCATGTCCCTAGGGTCTAGCACCAAGCCTGCTGCTTTCCATAAATGTTTGTTAAGTGAATAAACGAATGAATGGAGGGGCAAAGGGTTGGGGCTCCATTGCAATGCAGCTGTCCTATGGCCCCTTTATCTGAGAATTCCTTCTAGTCCAAGCCACCCATGTGCCCGATGACAGCCTGAGAGTGATGGGGTCAGCACTGGAGTTCAGAGGCCTGGACCCCATCTTTTCTGGCTGTGTGCCTGTCCTAGGGTGAGGAGGGTCAACTCTCTGGGTTCCCGAGTCCTTCTTTGCAACATGGAAATAGGCTGGATGATTGTTGGGAGGGTTTGGAGAGAGAATGCTTGCTGGCATGCCTGTCATAGGACCTGACACATCGTATGAGTGTGGATGAGAAACTGAGGTGCAGAGAGTTGATGGATTTGACAAAGGACATGTAACAAGTGAGAATCACCTCTTTGCTTTCTGGGCTGGGACTCACTGCCCTCCTGCTGAGCTCAGCCCCCATCAGCCTGCCCGCCCCTACCCCAGGAATGGCCACCGCAGGGGACGTGTGGTGAGACCTGAGCAGCTGTGGGTTGACGAAGTTGAGCAGATCCTGGATCAGCTTGAAGCAGGAACCGATGAGGTATCTGGGGCCGAAGGTGACCACCATGGCCTTCAGGAAGGAGGGCTTCTGAGATGGGGCATGACCGGCCAGCAGTACCTCGTCCTCACCAGAGCCCTTCTTCCCGAAAGCTGTCAAAGCCTTGTGCCTGCTCCAGGGAGGAGGAGGAAGGAGCAGTGAGTGGCAACATTAGCATGGTCCCAAGAGCCTGGGGGCAGGGCTGGGCTGACCAGGGGCCAGGAGGCTACTTTTTTTTATGTCCAGGACTTGGAGGGGACAAATATGACCTCCCAGCCCAGGACACTCAGTTGATTCGGTCCTCAGATGCTAGAGGGCATAGGAAAGGGTGTCCCAGCTTCTACTCCAGGAGTCTGAAAGCCAACAGTTTCCAGGCTTTGCCCTATCCCTAAGAAGCCCTGATGGCACAGAGGTTAAGTGTTTGGCTGCTAATTGGGAATTCAGTGGTTCAAGCCCATCAGCCAGCCTCTCCATGGGGGGAGATGGCAGTATGTTCCTATAAAGATTAGAGCCTTGGAGACCCTACTAGCAGCTCTACTGGGTTGCTATGAGCCACAATCAGGTTGACCGCAGTGGGTTTTTCTTGGTCTTCTCTCTGCATTCCCAGGGCTGCCTCCAGGAGAAACGCTGGGTGGGAAGAAATGTGGGTGACCACTACCAGTAGCTTAGTCATGGGAGCCGAGCGGGGTGGGAGTGGAGGGGTGGAAGGACAGAGGGAAGGTACAAAAGGCAGCATTTCTTCTCAGACAGAGCCTCCAAGCCAAGGGACCAGGTACTGTTAACCAGGCCCAAGACCCCAAGTCCCTGGTTCCTCCAATAGTCAGCTACCCAGCTCTGATCTGAACAAGCCTTGAACTCTTAGGTTCTAGGTTGTAGTTGCGAGGGGAGAGGCCCGATCCTGGGATCAGAAATGAGCAGGGAAGGAGGACTCTGAATCTCAGCTCTGTTGATGAGGGAATTGGCCAAAGAAGAGCTTCTGGCCATGGTTCCTCAGCTAGAGAATCACAGAAGCAAATGCAGGACTGGAAGGAGGGAGAGGCCTCAACCTTTCCCCCACAACCCCTTCCCCCTCCTAAGTGGAGTCTCTTAAGCCCACCCTGTGAGTCAGGCTGGATGGTGTAGTGGTAAGAGTGTGGTCTCTGACACCAGACAGCTGGGTACCATCATCAACACAAGGACTTTGTGCCATTAAACCTCTGTGCCTCAACATTCCCATCTGTAACATGGGGATACTTTAACCTACATTGTAGGGCTGGTGAGAGATTAAGAGTTAACCTATTAGTGTTTAGGGCCATGCAAGGGTGGAGTCAGTGCTCTGAAAACATTAGTCATTCTCTTGCCCTCAGGGCTGGGGAGAACTGCTCTCTCCAGGCCTGAGTTTCTTATCTGCCCGTCCTGTTATGCTCTGTGTCCTGTGGAGTTGCTTTCAGCTCTCAGTGACCCTATAGGACAGACTAGAACCATTTACAGAGGGTTTTCTAGGCTGCAATCTTTAGGGAAGCACAGCATTGGATCGTCCCCCTTCTCCCCACCCCACAGAGCAGCTGATGGCTTCAAACGCCAACCTTTTGGTTGGCAACTGGCTGCTTAACCACTGTGCCATTAGAGTTTGGCTCCTTGGGAATCACCTGAGTCTGCTCTTCTCCCCACCTGGCTGTGTGGTCGTTCCAAGTCTGCAAGCCTTGGTTTCCCCACGGACCGGGCCCAGGTCTGTGAAGAAGCTGGGATGGGGGGTGCCGCCATGGGGAGGGGCTCACCGTTCCGCCTGCTTCTGCTGCTTTTTCCATGCCTCCAGCAGCTGCTCTGTCACCACCTGGGAGCAGTCCTCCTCTTTCAAGGACCACAAGTCCTCGCCCTTCAAGGGGCGCCGGTAGCCCAGGATGGCCATTCTAGGGTGGAAATGTGAAAGTGGGCAGCAACTCCTCAGATGGTCAGAGTCTAGACTGGGACCCAGGGCCCAGGCCACCGAGCCACCAAGGAAGCATGGCTCCAATGAGTGTCCAGAAAGAAGAGTGTCTCCCTAGACTGCCATGGTCACACTGAGCAGGGGGCAGGCCATTCACTGTTTCCTCCTAAAGCATCTCGCCTCTGGCCCTTCCCCTTCTCCTCCCCAGACCCAGGCCCTTGATTGAACCCATGCCAGCCAGGCCCTGAGCAAAGGCCCAGGCGGTGGAGTCAGCTCAGGCCTCAGGTGTTTCCTCATTACAGTGTGGTTAATGAGCTGTCACCCAGGTCACAGACACAATTGTCCCACTCAACCCATTCTGAGGGGCAGCCGAGGAGATGACAAGTTGAATACTTTCCCAAGACTGAGGAGCTGGGAACTAATTACTGTCTCCTTCCAGCCTCCTGGCCTGTCCCCCTCAGCTTGCCAGATGCAGGGCTGGCCTGTGAGCTGGGCCAGGCCCAACCTCTGCACTCAACTCCTGCTCAACCCTAACCAGACATACATGCCTATCCTATGTCCATGGGGTGGAGACCTCCAGGCCTTGCTCATCAGCCCCCTGAACTTCTGAACCTTGAAAATGACAGCCTTCTACCCCCTCCTGGTCTAAGCTAGAGGAAAAGTCAACTCACCCTGTGAACCACCAGAAAGTCAGGCGGGACAGGAAGCCGGCACTGGCCTCTGGGCAGGGGTTCTAGAAAGTGAGAGCAGGGTGGAAATCAGGAGTGCCCATCATCCCCTCAAAAAAAATTGCACGGGCCCCTTCTTTGTCCCAGCCCTAGTTTACAGATTGTGGCTGTGGCATCTCTTTCAGGCACCACCCCTCCTCCACTGGAAGATTCTGGAAGGGGGAGATTTGCTAGTAAGGGGTAGACTGAGGACTAAGCTTTAGAAAATGATCACTTATGATGCCCAGGGCAAACTCACAGGATCAACGTTCTTTGGGGAGAAAAGTGGCGGCTTCTCTCTGAAGCAGGACAGGATGAGGGCCGAGAGGACCAGGGCGAAGTAGATGTAGAAAGTGGTGAAGCGGAAGGGATCTGAGACCCGGCCCTGGAAGGGAGAAAGGAGATATGTAGCAGGGGGTCCAGAGTGTCGGGGTCAGTCCTGGCCCTGGAACACTCCAAGGTGTTGGGCTTCCGGGGTACAGGCAACACCTAGTAGCCTCTAGGTCCCCCACTCATGGGAAGGGGGTACTGGGGGTGCCGTGCCAGGCACTTTACCAACAATGTCTTGTTAAACCCTAACAACAACCTAGAAGGTGAGTACATTTATCATCTTTTTTATTTTTTTATCTTTTTTTAATCATTTTTCATCTTAACCACTATGCTTACAAGTATATTTCAGTGACATTAGTATTATTAGCCATGTTTTATAACCGTCACCACATACTCTTATGATATCCATTTTGCAAGAGACCAAACTGAGCCTGGAAAAGAGTAAGTAACTTGCTCAAATTGACACAGGGAGGAAGTGGGTTGTATAGAGCCGTTTCTTAGCTAGGCTTGACTGCCTTCCTCTAGGACTCCTCCCCTAAGATGCGCTAGGGAGCTCTGGTGGCCTACAGGTAAGAAACTGGGCAGCAATCCCAGGGCAAGCAGTTCTAATCCACAAGCTGCTCCATGGGAGGCAGTCTCCTCCCGCACAGTTAAACTGCCTTTAAAAACCTGCTGGAGAGTCAGCTATGGGTTCCTTACAATTTAATGGCAAATAAGAAGACGCACTAGACTGACCCTCTAGCATTCCATACCTCCCAACACCACTAGGGGTCCCCCTTCTCTGGTGAAGATCAAGAGAAAGCTGAGGGTGAAGGGAAGAAAGGGGGGAGAGCAGATAAAGGGGCTTCTGGATGAGCTAGATCATTCATGGATACTCACTTACCATTCCTTATACAGACACTGAAAGAGGCCCCTGTTAGACATGGTACATCCACAAGCCCACCAATGGCAAGACTTTGTCCCCTGGCCCTGTGTTGCATGAGTCCTGCCCCTCCTCCCCGTGGCCCATTTCCCTGCAGAGATGTGACAAGTAGAACAACACTGTATAAAGCACTGAGCATTGGAGGAGGTCCTGGGAGCCCAGGCAGGAGGAAGGAGGAGCTTGGAACCCAGAAGTGACCTTGAGCCCTTCAATCATCCCCCACATAGCCCTGGTCCTGGCAGGGGTCCCCTGGCCTTACCTCTGCCATGGCCAAAAGAATCTTGGAACGGAAGGGGATGATGGCACAGAGCACACACAGGAACCAGAAGATGATGAGAACCCCTGAGGACTGCACCCCCCGCAGCCGCTCGTACTGGATCAGCAGGGTGGCCAGCATCTGTGCACACACACACATCTGGAGCTGTCTCTCTTCATCCTCACTCCATATGGCCTGTCATTTCTAGGGTCACCTTCATTTTCATCTCACTCCCAAGAAGTCTAGCCCTTCTCCTAAGAGCCTATAATTTCTCCATTATAATCCCACACTTGAACTGGAGACCCTCCCTCACCCAGCTTCCCGTGCCCTATACTGACCATGGTGACTCCCACCACCAAGGGTGTGACAAAGAAGATGGGGGCAGGTGGCCAGCCGTGGGCCAGACCGTGGAAGGAGTAGAAGAGGTCAGCCCAGGAGACACACCATAGCAGGGCACCAAGGACCTGTGGAGAGAGCACACATTAGAGTCCTCCCCCCCAAGTCCAGGGACAGGAGCACCCCAGGTAGGGAGTGGCTTTGGCTCTGGAACCCTCCACAAGGCACTAGACCAAGATGGGCTTGGCTATTTAGACTGGGAGGGACCACGACTGAAAGTACGTGGGGGATAGAGAGAGCCTTGTGGGAGAACTTGCTTGAACTTCCTCAATGAGGGAGTTTCCCAGTTGGCTGCACATCTAGCTGGTAGGCTGCCCTGGCTCTGAACTTCTAGACAATGCAGCTGGGAGGCCTAGAAACCCAGTCTGGGTGCTAAGGGTAGCAGACAAGGGGCTTAATACAAAGAGAATCCCAAGCCCCAGTCTCACCCTCAGCAGAGCCCCAACCCTTCCCTCTGAGTTTCTTACTGTCTTGAGCCTGCAAAGGTGGGAAAGGACGATATAGCCATGACCATGGTGCCGCAGGTAGAACAGGTAACAGGGCAGGGTCACCCACAGGTAGATACAGGGCGCCCAGGCCAGCAGAGAGTTCTGGAAGCAGGGCGTGAGGTCAGGGTTGTCTGTGTGCAAGGACAGATTGGAGTCCTGGAGGACGAGAGAGCATAAGCATGAGAGCGAGTGAGTAGATGCTGAGTTTGAGCTATCCCAAGAGGCCGCATGTTCCACTGGGGGCCTCTGTGCTCATCTCATCATCTCTCTCATTGTGTACAATTTCTTTGTTGCACACAGGAACAATCTTGAAGGGCTATCAGTGATAAGAACAAGGGAAGGAGACTAAAAAAAAACGAATTCAAACTTATAATCCACTCATAGCTGACCCTTCAGTAGGTTTTTGGAGTCTTTGGTTTATGTAAATAGCATGAGAGAAGATTGTCCATCTTTTTTTCATGGAGATGCTCGTGGCTTTGATCTGTCTGAGAGGCATGGCCTCTGGGTTAACAGTGCATCTCCTACGGACTTCACCACCAGAGTTCCCTAAGAGAGTGAGAGGGAGTGAAATTCAATAAACTGTCAATGTGGGTGAAAGGAAAGACAATACATGAGAAGAGTTGAACTGTTGTTGTTTTGTGTCATCAAATCAATTATGACCCATAGCAACCTATGAATAACAGTTGGGCACTTTGCCCTATTGTTCGCCATCCTCATCATCTTCAGCACCTTAGAGCCATTGTTACTGCCACGATGTTAATCCTTCTTGTTGAGTCTCCTTCTCATTTAGAATAAGTTGATTACATCAATAAATTTCAATTAGTGTTATAAATGATCTATGAATGATTGACTGAAAAAAATCAGTATGTTTTGGAAATTTTTACTCAAATAAAAAAAGTTTAAAGAGAAACATCCATTTTTCTGGGCAAGAGACCTGGAAAGATTTTTCACAGAAGAAGCTATTCAGATGGCTAACAGACACATGAACAAATGCTCAAAATCACTTGCAATAAGAGAGATGCAAATCAAAACAACAATGAGATACCATCTCACCCCAGTAGCAGTGGCAGAGTTTAATAGGAAAGTAAGTAATAAATATTGAAGAGGATGTGAAGAGATAGGAACTCTTACACGCTACTGGTGGGATTGTAAAATGGTACAGCCACTCTGGAAAGCAGTTAGGCATTTCCTCAAAAAGCTGAACATAGAAATTCCCTATCACTCAGCTATTCCACTACTTGGATTATATCCTGAGAAAAATTAGAACCGAGACTCAAACGGAGATTTGTAATGCTCATAACAGTGTTATTCACTATTGCAAGAACATGGAAACAGCCCAAATATCCAACCACAATCAAATGGATTGAGAAATTATGGTCCATTCACATAATGGAATACTACTCAGCATGCAGGAGGAATGATTTTGAAAAGTATTAACTAATTTGGGAGGGACTGGAGAGCATTATGCTAAGTGAAATAACTCAGTCCCATAAGGACAAATACTGTAGAAGACATTGTAAAAATAGAAAGATAACTAGTAAAACATGTATGAGGATACAAGCAGCGAGGGTAGGAGCAGAAGGGTGAGGATGGGTAGGGGGATAATCATAGGGTTACACAATTTGATGGGTAGAGAGAGGGTGGATAAAGGAAATGGGAAAAATCCAGTGTGAAATGTATATGAACTTTGTACATGAGCCAGTATAAAATACAAATTTTGCTTTAAAAAAATAAATGTATCCATTTCAAATATGTCATTTGATATGTCTTGGCACTTGACTACTTCTACAAGGAAGATACAGAACTTTGCTGTCACTGCCAAAAGTGCCCTTGTGCTGTCCTGCTGTCCATCCTTCCCTCTCTCTTGGATCCAAGTAACCACCTTCTGCCATTCTAGATTTCCATTCTCTTTTGCAAATCATCAACACTTTAAATTTTATCAAAATGATATATGAAAAATATATATGCATATGGTTTAAGAGATTATATCCTTCTTTAGCCATCCTAGGTAAGGGACTAGGAGGTCCCTGAGACACTGGATAGTTTGAGATCAAAGGAGCAAGTGGTGTGGGGAGATTTTTGTAAATTACAAAGCCCCCTGTGAGTGGTCCTCTGCCCAGGCTTGCATGAGATTGTCCTGATTTAGCCCCATGCTGTAGGAAACTACTTGGCCCATAGCAAACAGGGACATGTGGCCACTCTGCTGGCAGCTAGTGAGACTTCTTAGCATAGATTGAGTTGTGTCCTCATCAAAATATTTATCAACTTTGACAGGCCAAGATTCTCAGTATAGTGTAATTATCCTGCGTATTGTAAATCCCAACCTCTGTGATGTTAATGGAGCAGGATTAGAGGCAGTTATGTAATGATGCAGCCATTCCTGAGGATGTGATCTGAGATGTGATCAGCCAGCAATTTCTAAGAGGATTAGGGTGGAATGCAACACCCTTAATTAGGTCCTGGTCGCCCCCCCCCCCACTCTGATGACAGGGAACTTTCTCTGAGGTCTGTCCTGTAACACCTTTTAACTCACAAGAGGTGACAAGAGAGAGAAACCCAGCAGAAGAGAGTGGAGCTGGGTATATTCTGAGAGTAGAGTGCTTTCTCTAACCCTGGTCCCTACTCAGGGAAGCTTCTAGACACAGGGAAGACCAAGACCTGCAGAGCTCTCCAAGGAATGTCAGGCCTGCACATGCTGAAGGAAGCAGGCACCTTCTGCAGAACCAACAGCGAGAAATGAAAGGATTCTCAGAGAGCCACACTCTCAACTTAGACTTCCAGCCTCCTAAACTGTGAGACAATGAATTTCAATCAAAGCCATCCACCTCTAGTATTTCTGTTGTAATAGTATCGGAAAACGAAGACACCCCTGTTGCCTTTGACCCCAACTCATGACAATCCCATTTGTAAAGCAGAACTAAGCTCGATGGCTGTGTTTTCGAAAGTAGATTTCTTGGGCATCTTTATTCTGGGTGGACTTGAACTTATAACCTTTCAGTTCAACAGCCAAAAGGGCTACGGGCTAACCATCTGCACCATGCACAGATAATTAGACCTAAAAACTTTAGAAAGAAAGGAGGATGAATTCTTTAGTAAAGACAAATTCACCGTGATTGTTTTATCATTGGCCCCCTTTTCTTGTAAAACATCATTGTTGCCGTTGTTGTTATGTGCTATCGAATCGCTTCCGACTCAGATGTACAACAGCTCTGAACCCTGCTCTTCAGGACTGCAGTGCAGCTTCTTGCCACTAGGCCACCAGAGCTCCCTGCATTTTATATTACTGGGATCATGTGCCCTGTTGGTGGGTGGTTTTGTTTTTTCCATTTAGCATGATGTTTTCAGGGTCTATCCATGTTATAGCAAGTATCGGTGTTTCTTTTCTCTTTATTGCTTAGTTCTATTCCTTTATGTGGCTATATCACATTTTGCTTAGCTACTCATCTGTTATGGACATTTAGATTGTTTCCACCATTCAGTGATTATGAAGAATGTTGCTATAAACATTTGTGTCCAAGAGTTTGTGTGGATGTATTTTCATTGTTTGCATGTATGCATAGGATTGAAATTGGTAGGTCATATGTTGTTGTTGTTAGTTGTCACTGAGTTGATTCCAATTTCGGACAACCTCCCTTGTGAAGTGCAGACCCACTCTCTAGGGGCTTAGAGCCGCTCCCCGGGTTTTCAAGGCCTAGACCCATCGCCACGTTTCTCTCCTGAGGGGTCTCTTGATGAGTTTGAGCTGTCAACACTGCAGCTCATTTTTGAGGGGCTTACCCATTTAATCTGCCCAGAGAGTCTGATCATATGGCAACTCTGTTTAGTCCACTATCTTTTTTTAAAAAATTTATTTTTTATTTATACTAGTTTTAGCCCACTAACTTGATAACCAGGCACTGAAAGTGCTGAGGGTAGTGATTGCTAAACTTCATTGTAGAGTGACCAACTTGGTCATTCTGGGAGGACCAACTAATTGGCAGGAAGATCTGATGCTTTAGAGGTAAGAAAACATAGGTGGTTTGAATCTACCAGCCACATCAGGGGAGAAAGAGAGACAATCTTGTGTGATTTTCAGCTATTGAGAAGCCACTGGAAGATCAGCTCTGAATCAGCACATAACAGCAATATCAATTGACAGAATCTGCAGCCTTTCCTCTGGATCCAAGAATGCGAAGAAGGCTGAGGGTCCCATTATAATCTGCAAACTGTCATTTATCTCAAGAGAATAACCTGGTGCAGGTGGCTGAGTGTTTAGCTTTGGGAAAAGTTTGTTTGTTGTTGTTATAGGCCGTAGAGTCACCTGCAACTCATTACAACCCTGTGTACAACAGCTCTGTCTTGTCCTGAAACCTGCCCTGTCCTGAGTCGGTCTCACTGTGACACACCTGCCTCCATTGCCCTAGTTACGGTATCAATCCATCTCATCTGGGGCCTCCCTTTCCTGTGCTGTCCCTCCACCCTTCTGAGCATGATGTCCTTCTCCAAGGATCAGTCCCTCCCGGCCATGTCCCCAAAGTATGTGAGACAGAGCTTCAGAATCCTAGCCTCCACAGGAGAAACTTGGTTTCACCCTCTCCAAGACAGATCTATTCGTTTTCTTGGCGGTCCATGGTATGTTCAAGACTCTTCTCCAGCACCACAGCTCAAAGGCATCACTTCTTCTTCTTCTGTCATCCTTAGTCATTGTCCAGCTCTCTGATGTGTGTAATTCTTCTTTACCCAGCCCTCCAATCAGCCATCCCTTGCTTTTCGACCTCCCTGCCTCTGCAGTCTGAAGGCATGTGGTTCGAATCGACCAGCTGCTCCTTGGGAGAACAGACAATCTTCTTCTGTGTGATTAACTGCCTCTGAAAACCCACCGGAGGGTCAGCTGTGGGTCAGTTTGGACTCAGTGGTATACACCATCACCACCACCACCACCTCTGTGGCCCCCCTGAGCCAGTCCAGACTCTGCATCTCCTTCCTCCTCAGCTGTCTCCGCTTCCACAGCAGGTATCACTCCTCCACCTGCTTTCCACTGACCAGAAACATGCTGCTCTTTCCCCTGCTGTCATCTCCTCTTCTCTGCGTCCTTGTGGGCTTACATCTTTTTGTTCCTTACTATCATTTCAGTGGAATTTCAGGAAGAAGCCGGGATAATGTGTCTAATCCACCCT